ATGCATATTAGTATCTCTCATTTATTTCATTTAGGCTCACAAAAAGAAAGCAAGCTTAAACAAAAGACAGTGCCATCAAGACAAACATTAAAAAGCAAAGAAACTGTAATAGTACAGTATTTAAAGTATAGCAATGAAATCGTAGAGGGTACATTTAAGAGAAATCAGAAACAACTGATGAGCAGGTTCAACAATTAGGTTTGGGCAATACTATCTCTGCTGGCGCCTTGACAGGTGTACAGACAAAACCACTGCCACAACCCTCATTAGAGTGGCACCCTGAGCTGCTAAAGAGTGGCTAATTCCAAAACAATAAAACCACTCTAACTTAAGAAAAATTGGATGTCATCCTGTGGTTAACATGCATTTATTCCAATCAAGTTGAAAAAACAATGAAAGTTTATTAAAGTAACAATTATAATATCTGTGCAATACAAATTGTTTTCAATGCATTTTCTGTCCACAAAACAAAATGTGGGTAGATCCACTGACTGACAGCACTTGTCCATGGAGTGACTTAACATTTCCCTTTTCCAAGACATTTTTAGAGACACTGCAGGTGAATTGAACAATAATTATAAGCCTACCAATTTGCACTGTTGAAACAAATGCTAATCAAAAATAATTGTGGTCTAAGACATTTTTTTAGATAAAATTAGTTGCACAGTGTATAGCCACAGAGTGATTAGTTCAAAAGTAATTTTCAAACTATCAAACATGTATCTAAAACCATTGAGACATTTTTAAAAATGGTGGTCCTTATTTTGATGATGCAGTGCAGATGCTCCTGCATATTTCATTTTTTATTAAAAACTTTTGTTCTAGAAACTTTGTGTTTACTTTTATGAGCAAAAATTCTAAATCCAAAAACACAAAGGTATGTAAAGGTATAGGCCAACAGCAATGTGACAACATCATCATTTCAACTTGCTCATGGCTGAGGGGAAGGGGAAACCATCCCTTAGCAGTCAAAGCCTTCACCCTCCCCCTCATACCTATTATTCATTTTTCGTGTTGAGTTACCTGATCAAGATCTGTTTATTTCTGGACCCCAACAACTTTTGTTGTAAAGCAATGGTACTTAACACCTTTTGAACATGTGGCTCTGCGTGCAAACACTTGTGATAATGTGCTTCAGTTGTCCTGGTAATTGAAAGTTGATACTATGCATAGGAGAATTATTGAGAATAAGTTAATAGCACAAAGTGGTTCTCATCTAAACCTCATGCAAAAAATATACTGAACCCCTACATTATTCTAAAAGAAATAAAAAGGGAAATAATAAACACCTCAAATTATATTTCTCAGGCAAAAAACAACATCTTTCTATTGTACTCACATGGGTCTCAGATCCATGAAGAAAGTCATTGAGAGCTTCTGGGTCACTGTAAAATAAAAACATAATAAGATGATATTTAATCAATTTGTTACCCTGTCAAAATAAGCAATAACCAAGCAATGACTTACCAAATTACATCTAGAAGGCACCTGCCGTCTTCATCATCCATGACAACTAGTTAAAGGATAAAAATGTTTTTTAAAATCAACTGATTCAGGCTCAAATGAAAACAAATAAAATAAACTATATGTGAACAGCTGTGTTAATTAAATGACAAAAAAATATGAAATGAACATCAATATAAATCAATAATAAAAAGACCCCAAACACTAACCACACACCACTCTGCAAAGGATAGAATTGTTTACATATTTACCATGATATAACTTCAGATGTACTGTATTGATCCAATTCTAACAGATATGCATAAAATATTGTTATAATTGCATTTAATACATGATATACTAAATTTAGTTTGTTACAGTTACTACAGTTGTAATAGCTAGAAAAGAAATCAATCAATGAAAATGTGCATCTTCATTGTAAGTATATATATATAGTTATATATACACACATACACAGTGCTGTAGAATATTGATACAGTATTGTGACAAAATATTTGGACACATCTGCATTTTGATATTTTCTCACACCCTTAACTATGACAAATATACACATTACACTTGGTATAGTTATAATAACTACAAGTAGTATTTGTAGTTGGTGATGGTGGCTTTACTATGCAAGCAGAAACAAGCAAAAACCAAGTCAAAATGACTAGTTGCTCTTTTTACAATTTTTTAAAACTATTTTTTTGACAGAAACTGATTTTATTAGTAGGTTATGGTCACACATATGACTAAAGATGGTCTTTCTTACTTCTTACAACAGAGCCCATGCATATAAGACTTCAACTTTATAATCAATTCCTTTGCAGGACCCCAATGTTTCTTTTTAACAATTTCATTAGTTAATTCATGCCTTTACAGTGAATAACTCTACCTCTACTCTTTTCCCACACCAGTTCATTGTCTTCTTGTTAATACCCTTCCTTTTTTGAGAATCAACGATTTAATTATCAAACATCACATCAGTCTACTGACTGACAAGCCAAACAAAGTTCTTATAGCGCAGGAATATCTGAAAGATAAATTATTACGAAGGACTGGAACATATTATGAGCACAGGGAAGAGGTTGACGGCATAGCTTAATGAATAGATTCGTTTTTAATGAGAATTCTCTAAAAAGATTGTCCTAAATTGGATTGCTTCTTTAAGTGTCAAATGCCAGAAATGTTATATTCCGTAATGGAAACAAAACACTGAGGAACCTATAAAACTAAGTATATCTCAAAGCCAATATTTCCTCCTCAAATGTAGTCCAAACTCTCATAAAAGTATCTTAACAATCTGACCAACTGTATGATTCATTATACAAATATCGGGACAAAAAAAGGGCCGAGCAGCGGATCATCTTCGTTTTGCAGCGAAAAACTCGGGATGAAAAAGAACAACAAACTGAAAACGCGCGGTTTTCACAGGGACTGAGCCGATTTCGAGCGAGGGGTTTCGGTTAATATATAAAAAGTCTAGCAACTACTCCAAAACCATGCGGCAAAGGGCATTTAACTGAAATGCATGACGTCGATGTTTCGACCAAGATTAAATCCCAGTTATTCCAAAGATGCAGCAATTAGTAGCCATTACTCGGTCTGATCACAGCCAGTACGCAGGATATGAATGGAGACGCAGGGACGAGCGGTTAGCTATATTTTAGCTAAGCTTCCCGGAGAGCTCTTCAGTGTTTGTTATGTTGTCGATTGCAGTACACTCAAATAAATCACTTCGCATTCGGCCTAATCAAATTCGATAGAAACAGGTTTGGTTTCGTAAAGTAATTGCACCTAAATCCACAGTGTTCGCTGCATCTGGGTTGCATTTCTTTAGCCTGTCCAGCTAACCTGCTAAGTCAAGCTGCTATCAACAATATTCAGACGTAGAGCTAGCTTGAGCCTTTGACATTCAAAACAAACCAACGACTGACACTTTTTTGTCGCCCGTTTTGCACAATGGCACTTCAGTTCACAATAGAAAACACAGAGCTGACCGCTTTAATGTGTAAGCGCAATTGCGCAGCGAGCTGTGCCGTTCTCATTGCAAGCAAAATATGAGTTAATGTTGGAATACTCTTGGATGAGGGGGGTATGCTTGGGAATTCGGTGGAAAATGTCTACGTTTTCCATGTCGTGCAGCAACGTAGCATTTCGAACGATAAAGCTTTGCAGTTTGTGAGTTATCCGCAGTGCATGAATGTCACCGGCTTTTCAAAGATATTGGGATTAATGGAGAAATATGTTGTTTTTTAACAAACTCACCCGAGACGATAGAGGTGCAGGCAGCGCGGGGTCTCCAGGACAACCTCGCACGGGCTGCTGTACAGGACCCAACTACTGGCAGGAAATGGCAGACTTCCGTGTTGCCTGACCGAAATAAGCGCCTTCTTCGCTTCTTTTGCCAAAGTTTTTTCTAGCATATTGAACCTTTGGTGGAGTTACCGTGCCTAAACATGTAAAGTATGCGTTGTTGATAGTAACACCAGCAAAACAAACATTATCCAGTTGACGTTATTTTGTTTTTATGAATAGCACTCGCTCAGTTTATAATAATAAAAACAATAACAAGAACAATAATAACACACTCTACTACCTATAGAAGCAGCTTCTGCTAGAAGCTGGATATTAAAAAACGTACAAATAATAAGATAATTGTTTTTATTACCTGAGAATAAGTCCTTTACTATTTATACCAGAAAAAACGTTTCTGTATTAATGATACGTTAAAGCTAAAAATGCTTTGCTAAATGATATGCAGTAAAGAAATTATCCAGATAATTTCAACCTAGAAGTTTAAGGTAAAACGTTTGCCTCCAGATTAACTTTAAATTATCTTTCAACCTCATATTTTTTACCTATATCAGATATTATAAAGTCATCTGTCACAGTCATAATTTAGAGCCTTCTTTCTCATCCAAACTGTCCACCTGTCCACTACTACATTACCTACCCTGAATCCATCTACATTTTTTGAAAAAATGCATTGGCACATATATGTTGTTTACACATTTGTTAAGCTAACTACTAACTATAAAGCAATGTAAAGTAATATGAAATGAGCCAGGTTGCAAAGTCAGTGCAAGACGCTAAGAGTTTGCAACCTGGCCAGTACTGACAGTACTCAAAACAATGGTTCCCAAACTTCTGCAGCACAACCCTTTTGTAGAGGACCATACCTCTCATAACATTAACACATTCACAGCTATTGCTTTTGAACAATACTGAATTTTATATAAAATATAGTAATAGTAATCCAATGTGGCTCGTCTAACTGGAAAAACATAAGTGCAGTGTTATTACTTTGGAATAAATAAATATTGAAATTGGCTGAACCCTCATTGAAAAAACTCTGCACTCCCTACATTGAAAGCCATTGATAGTGCGTCTTCCAAAAAGCCAGATTTCCTCTTGAACTTAAACCGAGAAGGGGTACTTTAAGTTATCCATATTAAACATTTATAGTATAGTGAAATAGGTTGTTTTATTATAACAATTATTAAAATAAGCAAAATTTCACTATACAATTATCTTCTCAGAAACTCAAGCACGGGTGGAACTTCCAATATTGCGAATGTGTGTGTGTGTGTTTTTTAAATAAAGATAAAACCTGAGTAAATGTTATTACCAGCATCGTTCACTTATTTTTTTTTTATGTTTGATATGGCTTTGGTGTTAAAACATTGCCAATTGCTGAAACATTCAGGCATACGTTATAGTTGTTTTGTTTTTTAAATTTATGTTAGGAGGATAGTGTGGTGAATTATACATTACTAACACTGTATGTATGATGGTCAAACAAACCATCAAAATGCATAGTTTTATGTAAAATACCATAAAAAAACTGTGTTAGGAGCCAAGTGAAAAATCCCTAGTGGCGCCCCTGTACACACACGCACTATATGGAAGTTGCTGATAGTTATTAATAGTATTATTCGAAAAACTGCCAAACGTTAGATGTAACGGATAGAACACAGTTGCAGACAACATTTAAACGCATCACCAGTGTTTTCCGCTGTACCGTGTCACGTGTCAGGTGACGTTTACTGATGATGTGACAAGGCGAACCCTCTGCTGTTAGAGCTAGTTAGCTACTTCGTTGACTTTCGCGTTCCCACGTATTCTTTAATTAACAGTAGCAACAACACGAAAATGGACAACAGCGGCAAAGAGAAAGAAGCAATGGCCTTAATGGCCGAAGCCGAAACAAAAGTAAAGTCGTCGCAGTCTTTTTTCGGAGCGTTGTTTGGGTGAGTATGTCGGCCGTTAACCTAATGTTGTCAAGCTAAAGGGGCCAACGAAGCGGAAGGTGAATGTAGTAAGAATTGAGTGCGTTTTATAAATAATTTTGCAATTTGACCTCGCAGGTTAGAGTTTACTGTTGTCTTTCAAAATATCCTTATTTTTTAAAATAAATATTATATTCAATGTAATATGAAAGTGGCGATGAAGTCCTTAACATTGCGTTAGTTTCATGACGATTTCTTCAGTGAAACACTCTTGTTCTGAAAATTGACAAAATTAACATATTACGTTTAAAAAGTTCTGTTAACATATTACATACTGTAAGTAGACTGCCACCAGAAAACCACGGTAGCATCTTTTCGTGTTCTGCTTTTGCACATTTGGCAACAAAGCCACTACCTTGAGTTTTGAAGTTATGGCGCCATCAACTGGGAAGCTCTTGCAAGGTCGAGTGTATGAAATCACATGCCAATCACGTTGGTTTATATTTTACGATATTCTTTTCCATCAGTGTAAATGAAGGTAAATGTAACTATCTATGATATTCACTTGTATATCCATCGGTTTATTTTGCGAATTGTACCACTACTAAAGGTGTAAACGCAATGAACACGTTTTGAGGTCACACAGCGTTACTATCAGAATCAGTGTTGCCCTTTTTGTCCTTTTTTGTTTACTGTTTTAATGTGCATGTTTGTGCAGATGGCATTTTCTCTTTCAACACTGGACACATTTTAGTTTATAGCATATTTTTAATGTGAGAGTTTGTGATCTTCCTGAATATTGCACATTCACAATCTGTGTTTTTTAACTAAATATAGTTAAGTTAGGAAGTATAGTTAACTAATAGCTAAGACTATTTATTGACACTGTTGAATGAATCTGTTGCTGTACAGAGGATCCTCCAAGCTCGAAGAGGCCTGTGACTTGTACGTAAGAGCAGCCAACAGTTACAAAATGGCCAAAAATTGGTGTGGTAAGCGAATTAGTCCTAATTATTTAAAAAAACATTTGAAAAGAAATGTTGTTTTTCTGTAAAAAACTGTGTCTCTGAAATCTTACTTTTTTCTCTCTAGCTGCAGGAAATGCATTCTCCCAAGCTGCACGTCTTCACCTCCAGATGCAGAGCAAACATGATGCAGCCACTAACTTCATAGATGCTGGAAATGCCTTCAAAAAAGCAGATGCAGATCCACATGGTTGTATTTTTTTTACATATATCATTACATAAAATATAATGCATGCTTATTCTATCATTTGTTTATAATTATGAGAACGTAAAGTATTGTATAACAGTAAACTGTGTATTAAATCTTATTAATCTTTTTTATAGAGGCTATCAACTGCTTAAATAGAGCAATTGAGATATATACTGATATGGTATGTAAATTTGTGCAAAATTTAACAATTTTTGTACTGAGAATGCTATCTTTGTATTTGACTCTGATGTTGTGTAATTGATCTGCTTTCATTAGGGCCGATTCACTATTGCAGCAAAACACCACATCACTATTGCTGAAATATATGAAACAGACCTTGTAGATATTGACAAGGTGAGTTTTTTTAGTATTATTTAATTATTCTTTTATCAAACATGCTTCTTATTAGTGATTTATTTTTAATATTTACTGCTGGTATGTTTTAAACATTTTCTGTCCTAGGCCATTGCTCATTATGAACAAGCAGCAGATTATTACAAAGGGGAAGAATCCACCAGGTGAATGTTTTAATGGAGTAATGTTCCCTCTTCTTTTGTTTGCTATCAATGGAGTAGTTTTTTATTATAAGACTTATTACTTAATGGTATCTAAAATGGTTATTTGTGATTGTTTAGACAGTGATTTCTCTTTAACTGTTAAACTTTGTGATTTTTTTTTTCTCTCTCTTTAAACAGTTCAGCAAACAAGTGCCTTCTGAAAGTAGCAACATACGCAGCGCAACTGGAGCAGTACCCAAAAGCTATCGAGATCTATGAACAGGTTAGATGGCGTATCATTAAGACAATACTGAACCTATATTTTCAAGATAAACATAACATGTATCCTTTTTTGTAGGTTGGATGCCATGCTATGGACAGCACACTTCTGAAATACAGTGCCAAAGACCATTTCTTCAAAGCAGCACTCTGTCATTTCTGTGTAGACATGCTAAATGCAAAGGTCTGGCCTACTATGGAATGTATATATTAAATAAAGCAAAAATACAACACATAACTTTAATAATTCTTCCTGTCATCCAGTTGGCAGTGCAGAAGTATGAAGAAATGTTTCCGGCATTTTCAGACTCACGAGAATGCAAACTTTTAAAGGTTGGTATTGATCTACTGAGATAGCTGATTTTGTTCACTGATATCTTAGGTTTAAAGTGTTGTTTTCTAAACATTTGCAATGTTTTATCTTGTTAGAAACTTCTGGATGCCTACGAAGAACAAAATGTGGATGCTTACACTGATTCGGTAAATAGATGATTGCCTTACAGTAGATTTGTATTCATGCTGGCAAAAGTTAGCTGCACAACAATCCAAAAATAGTTGCATCGTGGACAACTGGACGGAGTAGGTTTTTTGAAGACGTTTCACCTCTCATCCAAGAGGCTTCTTCTTGGATGAGAGGTGGTGAAACCTACTCTGGGAGGTCAAGAAACCCACTCTGTCCAGTTGCCCTTGATGTAACTGTTTTTTGGATAAGATGACCTGGATGACTGAGAACCTACACAGATGTCCTGTACAACACTGTGTTCTAAATTTCAGATGCTAATAAGAGTTTAGGTAAAATAGTAGTTTGTTTTTTGGTTAATGAATTTTCTTAAAAACTGACAGATTAAGTAAATATTAAAAGGTATATTATCTTGTTTGTGTCTCAGGTGAAGGAATATGACACCATTTCACGATTGGACCAGTGGCTCACCACCATGCTTCTGCGTATCAAGAAAACCATACAGGATGATGAGAGCGACCTTCGCTGATTTCCTCCAGTACTCAACCACAAAACCTCAAAAAACGACTTGCATACTTTGTTTTGCCTTGAGCTTGTCTCTTTCAACCTTAATTGTACGATCATTAGTCCGTATGTTTCTTCAAAGATGATGTTTTCCTTCTGTCATCCTCACTAAATTTACATGCCTTTTTAAAATCTTCCCGACTTGTATCTCTATTTTACTGTCATATTTATGAACACTAAGTTCCTGAGTGCACACAGCACAGTATGTTATTTCTTTATGGTTCAGTTACTAGGTTGCAATACCAAATACTTACACCAGCGTACTTCCATAGTAACTGTTATATTTTCATTATTAATAAAAGGAAGAGGTGATGCCAGAACCAAGAATTTTCTTTAGCCAATGTTAGATCAGGTACAAATTAAAGTAACTTTTGGAGGTCGAGTTGAGAGCTGATCATATCAGTGTGTCTCAGAATGAAACAGCACTTCCTATTTGTGGGGGTTCTCATTTGAGCTGGTAAACCAGTACAGCTGTAGACTATTCTTCTGGCAAAAAAAAAACCCTTCTGCCTTAACCATGAAGTTCTCAGGATGTGGTTTGAACAAATAGGTTTGAAATGATAATTACTGCTTTTATCTGGAATTATTAATCATGTACTATATTTCATCAATTACATTTTACAAGTACAACTGTTTTAATTCCATCAAACTTAAAACAATAAAATTTCCATTTAACATTTATTGTTCAGTTTTGAATGATGTATTTCAATGAATGTAGATATTTCTAATTTTATTTGTTTGTTTGTTTTGGGCTGATTTGTTTCTCTTCTGGTATAACTAACCAGTGTAGAAAACTACATTTTAAAACCCTGCACAGGATGCAAAAAGGTGAAGAAAAAAGCTTTACTGGTATAAACACTGTGCTAAAGTATAACCTAACGATTTTTCACGTCACCTGACAATTGGTCTTCAAACGTGTGTATGACAATGATTAATGTAAAAACAAAAATTAAAATAAAACCTGTGTCAGCATCCCACTGGGTGTGGCCTCTACCTCTGCACCGTCTCCACTAACCGCCTACTCTGCATCAGAGGAAATTCATGACCACTAGAGATGCCGCTGTGTGCACCTGTCAACACGAGCTGAGAACACCTGGATATTGACTCATTCTTCACTCTCCTCAGCACCATGCCTTCACATTGTGCAGTGTACGTATCTGGTTGTTCTTTTTCTTCTCCTTCTTTTGTTTGGTAAGCTTAAACCAGAGTGCTTCCGTGGTAGGCGGAAAATGCCCTTTACGGCACAGCGCTTACTGTTTGTTTTGGAGACCAGTTTTACAAAGTTGGTATATATGACTGTACGTCACTGTTTGTTGCGACAGTTGTGCTGCGACAGTGTAACAAATGTGAAAACCAATTGTGCTGCGACAGTGTAACAAATGTGAAGCTCACATACTAAGGAGGAAGACTAACGTCTGCCGATTCCACACACCTTAGGTGCATTCATTTATTTTTCACCTCCTGAAATCCCTAAAGGATTTTACCTTCTTGCTTTATGTCCTCAGCTTGTTGACTAATAGGACTCTGGAGAGACGTTCGTGAGTATCCAAGAGGAGTGAACATCACACTGGGTTTCACTTAACATTACCATTTAAACGATAAACCAGAAAGATGGATACATCCATCAATTAACTATCGCTATATAAAACAAAACAAAAATGTTGTGAATATAATGAATATAACATCCATTCTTTTGGTCAAATTGTAAGTTTGTATTTTAAAAATGCACATAAACCGATAAGCGCGCGTATGTTCGACGTTGTTAAGGTAAATTATTTCTCGTGTTCGATGCTATGTTGGTTTGCAGCATTCAAAATGTAGTAGCCTATGTGTTAAATTACCTTGTGTATATTTAAATTATGAGGAAATATGAATACAATTCCCAGAAAACAAAAAATTACTACAAGTACTTTACAAGAGCTGAGACCGGTTTGGCTATCACGACAATCGGAGACAAAGTTTTAAAAAGTTTCCCCATTGTGGGGCAATTCGGACGAAACTATTAGTAGGAAGAATAGGTATACAAATAAAATTATCATAATTATTTTTAAATAGAACATTTCACAATAATATGTCACTTAGTGACTTGTTTTTCCAGACACCGTCACAGACTTAGTTCGTGTTAAAAAAAAGTGTGTTTTTAACACGTTAAACAAATTGACCTAAGCAGAAGTGGAGGTGTTTACAATATTTGCATCTAACACTCCCTGTTAGGTGTCTCTTTAACTGACTGTGCTAGTATGGGGGAAAACGTTGAAGCAACTAGTTAAGTCATGTCATTAATTTTAATCAATAAGGGTGGCTGTCAGTCATGCAACTAAACTAACAGAAACAGAAGAGCAAACAGAATTGTAGAATAACTGCAGAAATGTACACACACATCAGTGTGTGTACACGTCAAAAAGCCTGGTGGTCCAACAACCTCAGGGGCGGTGTTCAGTTATTTTAAGTAATAAATAAAAGTATGTATTAAGTATGTTTCGAATAAAGGATTCAAATTCAAAATTCCAAGTCAAAGTGTTTGATTACCAGGTGTAGCAGTTTTTACATTCACACAACTGTGACAATGTAACAACTATACATGTATGGAGCAACCACTATTTTTGTTATTTCTATCTTTAGCGACTTTCTCTGTAGTTGTTTGTTCGAACACCAAACCACAGCCTACTTCTAGGTTCTGCTTCTACATTGTGCCTGACTCAAATATTCCGTTTTTACTATATTCTTATTTCTCACAAAATTGCATTGTTTACAATAAAATCGATTTACGCTGTATGTAAACTGTGAATTATCCTTATCCTTAATTTATTGTTGTTTTAAATGAAGGTTCCCTGAAATCTATTTTAAAATCTATTTATTTTGATTTGGCAGGTACAAGTGGTTTCTCTGGGGAATATGTGGAGCCTGAAGACAATAACACAGAAATATAAGTCTTACCAGCTTGGTTTGTGTCTGTCATGATTTTAATACCCTTAATGATGAAGGGTATTTACGTCTTTAGTGTCTTGGCACTTCTGATCACTTTCCTTATGGTCTTTTACTCAACATTAAATCTAGAGACCGCCAAAAGTTACACGTCTGAAGTGAAGTTGTTTTCAAAGGTCGAGGACCAGAATTTGGATATACTGCTTTCAGAGCCACAAAGCTTTACCCTACCTGAGCCTGATGTCGACAACGTCTCTGTTTCAGAAAGCTTCAGACAGACAATACCTCAAAATGGAGCATACTGGAACCGCCTATTATACTCTAGACTGAAAAATCTTGGAAAGAGGGAATCCCCTTTAAGAGACAAATTGTCTTGGTCTAAGTGCAGGCAGGCCAATGAAGAAAGTCTAAAAATCAACGTGCATAACTTCAATAGCTATCCTGCCCCGTTCCAGGACTTTTTGCGTGTCATGGACTGCAGATCCTCTGCTGCCCTTGCCCTTTTACCTCACAAGTGCCTCCCTATAGAAAGTGATGGAGAAAACCAAACTCTACTGCTTTTTGCCATCAAGTCAAACCCTGGGAATTTTGAGCGAAGACAAGCGGTGCGAGAAACCTGGGGCCAAGAGATGCTGTATCCTAATGGACTCCAGATTCGGAGAGTATTTATTTTGGGCAACCCCTATCCAGAGGACCCTAACCTCGGCCCGCTGCTTTCATTTGAAAAAGAATACTTTGGGGATATTTTGCAATGGGATTTCCAAGAATCCTTTTTGAACCTGACACTAAAAATGAACTTGTTCCTACCATGGACGCTAAAACACTGTCCTCATGCCTCCTTTGTCTTTAGTGGTGACGATGATGTGTTTGTCAACACTCCTGCACTGGTCACCTATCTGCAGTCTTTGGAGCCTTCTAAAGCATCTCGGGTGTATGTGGGACATGTCATCAACTCAGCAGGTCCAATCAGAGACCAGAAAAGCAAATACTACATCCCCACGAGCTTCTACAATGGTCCATACCCTCCTTATGCTGGTGGAGGTGGCTTTCTGATCTCTGGAGCTTTGTTGAAACCCCTGTACTCTGTTTCTTTTGTCATTCCTTTCTTTCCCATTGATGACGTGTACATCGGTATGTGTGCTAAAGCTCTGGGAGTTTCTCCTCAGGGACATGCAGGCTTTCAGACCTTTGACGTCAAGGAGGAGGACCGTGACAACTTGTGTATACACAAAAACCTGATTCTGATCCATCAGCGTTTACCAAAGCAGTTGATGTACCTGTGGAAGGGCATTCACAGCCCCTTATTGTCTTGTTAAAATCTGACATTTCAGCTGAGCTGACATTTCAGCATTGACAAGAGGCTCTCTCACTGTCTAATGTTGCAGAACTATTTTTGTTAATAAGCAATTCTACTTGTTTATTGCTGACATTTTATGAAGAAAAAAGGCAAAGATAATCCATCTTAACTTTTTTAGAAAACTAGTTTTTACTACTAGACTTTATGTTAAGTTATATAATAAGTTGTCAAAGTTGTTTAACAGGCGGAAATCAATAAACGACATGGTGGAAGAGTTGTTGATGTATGGTGTCTGTTTTTTCTCTGTGTGTGTGTGTGTGTGTGTGTGTGAATTTACTTAATTTACTGCAGGTCTCCACATAGTCCAAAAATGTAGATTGAGGACAAGGACAAGTGGACACTGATGACTGCTAGGATTGGCTCCATCTTCCTTTTTGGCCCTCAAAGAATAAAGTGGAAGAAAAAAAAACAAATGACAAAATTAAATATGACAAGTGACCTAGTCATTTGTCATGTTGCATTGTACACAGGTCAAGTAAGTGTATGCAAATTATATGTAAAAAAAACCCCACTAAAAATATATATATAATATTATTTATTTAGCATCTCTTTCTTGATGATTAAAGCTGATTACATTTTTTACACTGCATGCCTTTCCACTCAGTTAAATAATAGTTGGCTAAAATTATTATTATCTGCACTTTCACTGTATTTCAAATACAGCCAATGAAGCTGCTGGGAGACATGTCCCATTAGGTGTCTTTAATCAACTTCCAACAAACACACACACCCACACTCACACTTGTTGGCCTTGTTTCTCACTTTTGTTGACTGTGTTAGTATGGGGAAAAAATTTGAAGCAACTAATTAGGTCATGTCATTAATTTTAATCAATAAGGGCGGCACATAGTGTACCTTCAAATTATTTTCCTTTGTAATGTAAGTACACTACAACAAAAAACAAACAAACAAAAAACAACCAAAACAAATCAGTTGCATAATTTATTCTAAACAAACACCAAAATTGTAACAGGAGCTGGGTGGGTGTACACTTATTGGATTAGTGTTGTCTGTAACAGCATGAAAAGACACACAGTCGTCAAAAATGTGTGTGCTTAGAATCGTTAAAACGTTTCCCCAAATAAGACACAGCAGAGATACACAAGAAAACAAGTTAATCATCACAAACACTGAGAGTAGCAGGTGATGGAGCACATTTAACCGTCACCATTTATTGCTTGATTTGTGTAGTTACTTTATACTTACAAGTAGCAGTCTGAATGGCACCACCTGATCGGAAACAAAAACAGTTGTAGGGATATATAGAAAACAGCTACTCGGAAAACTGAAGGCACCAAAAACCAGAAGGTTTTTGAAGTATGGTATTTCGCAGAAAATACAATCTACAGGAAAAAAGGCAAGTTATATCAAAACTATGCCTTTAGGAATAGTAAAAGGTGTGCAATAGTTTATGACCCTCTCAGTACTGACCCACTCCCAGATGAATTCACCAGATTGTAATAATTTCCATCAGGGTGAATTTTTTTCGTACAGGTCAAGTGGGTAGTGCTCTTTGTACTGTTGCACGTGTCTCCACATGGCTTGCCTCTGCTTCTCCAGATGGGGCGTAACCACATCGTATACATCTGTGAACAGCAACTCGAGATTGGGCTTCAGACGCTTCTCGGCCTTCTCAAACGCCTCCATCACCATCTTGCGGGACTGCTTTCTCCAGCTCCTCTCGTCATCTTCGCTCCACCAGACACGGGCCATCATGTAATGTCTGAGTCTGGAGATGGGATGGTCCTGCTTATCCCAGTAGTTCACCTCGTCCACCGAGCGGTAGGCTGAGCTGTCATCACTTGTGCTGTGGTGACCAATTCTGAAGAACGAACAGTTCAATAAGTTAAACTGACACTAGGGATACAGTACATTCAGGTCACAATACAATGATTGGTGATTTTATCACAACTTTTTAAAATAAAAACACCCAGGGACATTGTCATCACAATAAAAATAAAACGATGCACGAATAAAATAGTAAAAGTACACAGAAGGACACGGTACAGAAGACTAGAAGTTGTAAGGTTCCTTAGACTGGTGAGTTTATAAAAAAAATATTATAAAAAGGAGGGCAAGTCAGTATGGTGGTAAAGTGTTACATTGAGTCACAGTAGTCTGTAAAAATAGGGTCTTTTAATAACGTGACTCACCTGTACGTCATTGCCTCGATGAGGAAAGGCTGGTTCTCTGCCACAGCCCTGCGACGAGCCTCTTTTGTAGCATTGTAGACCGCAAACACATCATTACCATCAACACGAATGGACAGCATCCCATAACCCGGACCACGAGCAGCTGTTGTAATAGAGATAAAACACAAACATAAGCACAAGTGTGGTAACAAGTCTTGTGCTGAAGTCTTCAACCAGCATTCTTACCAATGCCATCCCCCCTGTACTGCTCATTGGTTGGGGTAGAGATAGCGTAGCCATTGTTACGACAAAAAAATATCAGAGGACACTCCAGCGTTGCAGAGAAGTTAAAGCCGGCGTGTGCATCCCCTTCACTGGCTGCTCCCTCTCCGAAATAACAGATGACAGCACGGTTCATGTTTTCCCTTTTAACAGCATAGGCAGCTCCAGCCGCTGGAACAGCAGAGGTGGGCATTCATAAAGCCACAGGTGACGTACTACATTCTTAAGATATTACCACAGCATATGTTCAGCTCACCCTGTGGAAGCTGAGTGGCCAGAGGGGAGGAGATGGTAACAAAGTTGAGGTCTTTGCTGCCATAGTGGACCGGCATCTGCCGACCCTTTCCGAGGTCGTCAGCGTTAGCATAACATTGGGCCATGAACAGATCCAAAGGAAAGCCCCGGTACATAAGTACACCTGCAAAAAAGTTTGGAAATCATTAAACAATATGCATTTGTCTTCAACTATAACTTCACACTTAGCTATTGGCTATTTCTGAAGACAAATATTCTATAATTAAGAGAGTATCTAGAATCTAAACCATTTGCCTCTTTGATACACACCAGCTTCTCTGTATTGACCAAAGACCAAGTCATTTGGGTCCAGAGCAGCAGCACTGCCAATGTGCGTCCCTTCTTCGCCATAGTTTGTCATGTAGAAAGAAATTCGACCCTGAGTGAGAGAGAAAATAACACTTGATTACAGGGTGTCATCTTGATCCAGTTTCACTACCAGCACATAAGACAGAGAAAAACACACCTGTCTCTGAGATTCGTACAGAATGCGGTCCATTGTGTTCAGTAATGTCATTTTCTGATAGAAGTTCAAAACGGTCTCTTTGGAGAGCTGAAACAGGAAAAAAGACAGAAGAAAAACCCAAAAATATTATTTTTATGTTAGTGTGTTTTTACAACTTAAGCTTGGAGCTAAGTACTGTACCTGAGGGTCTTGTGATGGATTTATTATGTTCCCCTGCCTGTCCATCACCCGGTAAATTGGGATCCCAGAAATAACATTGGGTTGGATGAACTCAAGTTGATCCACAAACTCAGCTGAGGCCCCGGGGAACTGTGGCTTTTCCAAAGATGAGTCAAAAGGCTGCTGCTGGTACACTGCCTGAAAATGAGTACAAATCTCATTTACTAACATCATAGTTGTTAAGTCATTAAGTGCCTGTTAAATACACACCACATTATCTACTGGAGAATTCTGAAATTATTAATAACCAAATTATTTGGTTACACTGCATTGTAAGCAACAAAACAGAAAAATTGGGAACTATTTATGCACTATAACCTAAAATATCAAGGAAGTGGAGTGACAACATTATTGGTGAGCGTGTTAAGGGGTACTCAGTCACCCCAATGAGAATATTTGCTGGACAAAGAGTCTGCTGACAGAAACCATAGTCTACATTGCGGAGCAACATAAATTAAAACAGCGCCACATTAGATGTTGACAGTTTTCCTCCGTTTACGTTAAACTCACGCCCCTGACATTGACCAATAGGAACGTCGCTAGCAGGCTTTAGCCGGTCTGCTACTACGTTTTGCAAAATACACAACAATAACGCAAGGTCGAGAGGATACATTTAATATAATTTACCCCCCGTGTCAAGTCCTGACAGTAACTAAAATTGATCATCCCAAAGTTACAGCAGCAACATCTTTTTCAACAAGGTTGTAAGCTAAGCTAAGTCGCTAACAACCAAAGCTGAATGTACGGCATGTTGTTGAAGTTAGTTTCTGAATGGGCATTTGAAGAACATGTCAACTATTGAGTTTATAATTAAACAGAATATTTTCAATACAAACTTATACTCAAAGGTCGAAGAGAATGCATATGTTGTTTTAAAACTATAAATTTAATTAATCGCTGTAGCCGTTCACTGGACGAGCGATGAGCCGACTTTAGCCCTCACCACATACAGCGACCTTCCAGGATACGTGTGATAACATGTTAAATACTGCATGACACAGAACAACAGCAATCTTCGTGTTACACTTACAGAGGCTCTGAATGTTCTCATTTGCAGCAGCCTTGTTGCCTTCACTCCTGCAGTTTGGCGAACAGCGCGGAAACACAGTCCGTACATTTTGTTGATGCTACTAACAATGATAGATTTGTCAGAAGTGTCAAAGATTTCCAACAGCGAATAACAACACGAGGAAATTGTCTCAACTGCTCCTGTCGTCTTTCGGATTTGGCGACAGTCGTTATAATAACTAATTCCGGCTAGACGAATGTATTGCATCCGGTTAAACTCTTTCACAATAAAGAGGAAGTGAGTCACTTCGTCTATCAAATTTTAGGCAGTTGAGATACGATGGCCACACTGGTGATTTGTTAACACTCGTATATTAACAACATATAAGTAATGTGCAGAAGTTAAAATGCAAAATACATTTAAATTAAGCAACATTAAAAAAAAGAATTGGTATAGTTTGTTCAATTCACGCTTAATTTTTATAATAATAATATTAACAACAACTAACAATAAATAATATCAATAATAATAACAAGGTTAATAATAATAATAATAATAATAATAATAATAATAATCATAATGTAACTACGATGTATATCGGGGAAGTATTTGGGGTAAACAGATGACGTCACATGTCCGCGACAACCGAATAGTCTTCTCTGTGGTGGTGTGATGGAGGCGTGCAGTATTTCCAACCTTAAATTGAGAGAGTTCGGTTGTGAACAGAGCTTACTCTCTCGGCCGGACGGTTCAGCTTCTTTTATTCAAGGTAAGAATATAATAGACATTTGAATCTGCGTCAAAGGACAGATTCGAAATTTTAATCAAACCTCACTGCGTACGTGTGCTGTCTTCCATTTACCAGTGGCACCGCGTCTTTAACACAAGTAAAGCGTTTATTTTTTTTACACTAAACTAAAACACTGTTTTGGCTTAGAGTTGTCTCTTAAACATGAGTGATGTTACTGATGTTTTGCAACCTCACAATTGCAACAATTTCAGGTCAACCTGGCCTGAAATCGTTGAATAATTTGGTATCCACCTGGTTTTTAACATCAGCAATATAGTTATATATTAATTTGAAACAAAATATTGTACATTTTTTCGCAGGTATGCTGTTCTTACGGTAACGCTAGAATAACCAGAAATGTAGTGGCTAACATCAATAATATCATCTTTTGTTTTATCCAAAGGAGATACAAGTGTGTGTGCTGGAGTGTATGGCCCAGCTGAGGTCAAGGTCAGCAAAGAGATCTATGACAGGGCCACACTGGAGGTTCTAATACAGCCCAAAGTGGGATTGGCAGGTCAGTGTGTTTTTCATGTGAAGCTGCTTTATTTAGCAATTGATAGATAATACTTGAAATTGATATTTGACATAATAATTCACTTATAATTTTATTAACTGCCCAGTTATTGTAGAAAGTACTTTAGTATCAACGATTTAGTTGTACCAAGACTAATAGTTGTTATTCAGTTAAAACGTTTATATCGTTGATACTACTGGACTGTAGGGACTGCATGTGCTGTCCTGTGTTTACTACTTTAAATCACACGATGGAGTAAGTCAGCTATTGTTACCCAGAATCTCTTTCTCTCGAACTCAGGTGTCAGAGAGCGATCACAAGAGCAGTGTGTGCGAGAAACCTGTGAAGCATCTCTACTGTTGTCACTTCACCCTCGCTCCTCCCTCACCCTTGTTCTTCAGGTGATTCACGATGATGGATCTGTATCCTTCACTTATTACCGTTGGCTGCCATGTCACTGGAATGTTTCAACTATAACTATCAATGGAACATGTCTTCTTTAACATTTCTCCAGCTATTGTCTTGCTTTTTAAATGCAGCCTGTATGGCTCTAATGGATGCTGGTCTGCCAATGAGTTGCCTGTTCTGTGGTGTCACGTGTGCCATCAGTGCAGACGGTCAGATAGTTACAGACCCCACAGCTGCTCAGGAAAAGGTACATTTACACAGGGACGTCTTTTTATTTACATCAGTGTTTCACCAAAATCAATTCTTCCGTTATTTCCATGTGCTTTGTTTCATGTAAGTTTCCTAAAAGGTCAGAATGTCTGAAAAGTTAAAGAAGTTAAAGTCTTAACCCTTTGTTGATTTTTCTATCTCTGATTAGGAAAGTCGGGCTTTGATGACCTTTGCGATTGACAGCACAGAACGAAACATATTGATGTCATCAACCAAAGGATCTTTTTCTGTTCATGAGGTAATCAAGAAAACTAAAATTCAGAAAACTTTTCTTCAACATATATGCAAGTGGAATATTGGAAGACTGGAATTTCACATCTGTGTTTTTCCAGCTAAAGCAGAAGTGGCTTTTATTAAAACTCGGTCGCAGGTCATTTAACTCGTCATTGAACTCGATTTTTTTTCAACTTTTGCATATTCACGACAACTGTGAGAACACAGAGCCTAAAACTAAACTACTTATCTAGGTATATTCTGTCTTTTTTATTATAAGATATATAAGATATTCAAATTTAAATATTGATTATACATTTTACTCAGTTCACAAATGACTGTTTTTCAATCTAATGCTAATATTACATTGTTTCATGAAAAGTCAATAACTTTAACCCTTTTCCTGCAGCTACAGCAGTGTATAGTTGTCAGCCAGAAAGCCTCAGAGAAGATGTTCCAGTTCTATCGGGATTCTGTAAAACGGCGATACTCCAAATACCTCTGATCAACGAGCTCAATTTTGAACCTTTTTTTGTATAGAAAAAAAAAAATTAAATTGATATAACCATCAATGTTGTCTTTTGTCTTTAATAAAGTTTAAAAAAAAACAGAAAAAAACAATGTCAACAAGTGCATTTATTAAGAATTACTGATTTTTTTGTTTGTTTTATTTTTACAATAAATACAACAACATGAAATGGGAAAAAAGATAATTATTTTCCTATAACAAATCTCACGTGCCACCACCTTGGACTAACACAAGTTGTCCACTCAGCTTCACTCAGGCAGCACCTGTAAAAGTGACTCAAACTGAGACAAATGTCCTCAGACTTTGTCTAAGGCCGACATGACCAATCTGTACGTCCATCCATCCATTTTCATCTGCTTAACTGTTCTGGGTCGCAGGGTCAGCAGTCTCCATGACCGCCACCCAAATCACATTACACCGTACCAACCTCCCTGAACCTTCCTGCAGGTGGTGAGTCCACTAGGAGGTACCAACCGCTCTAACTGGGATTTGAACTCACCCAGGAGGTGAACCCTGGGGTTCTACACCAATGACAGAGACATTGCCTCTGGTCCAAAGCGCCACCAATCTGTATGTATAGTTAGAATTATCAATATCAAATGTGTTTTACCACTGAAGTAAATGTCCAAATGAGTAAGGATTAAAACCACATCACACTACACTCAGCAATACAGATGTTTTCAGACAGCATTTGTCTGTAGGTGGACAGAAAGGACCAGAGGTTCCCACCATTCCAGAGTCACAGAACAGTTCCATGTAAGAATATTCTTACAGACTTGTCATCAAGATGCAGCGAAAAATAAATAAATAAAATACGACAATAAATGTCAAAATAAATCTAAGGTGCATACAGGTAAAACCACAATGTCAAACGACAAATTGTGAAAAGAGTTTGGCACGTGAGAATCATGTCACAATCAACCTGTATTACAAGTATGTCTCTCCTATCTCCTGTATCCTTCATGGACATTTCAGACAAAACGTTATTTCATGTCATAACTTAAAAAAAGTTGTCTTTAATTGAGAATTTTCAACAAGGAAAAAAAAAAGAATATATGGCACATATAATCAATATCTTCTTATTTTCCTTTCAATATAATGAATATAATGTTTTGTTTTTTTTACTCTTCAGCCTGTACCCAAGTGAACCACAACCAGGTACTGGTCCAGACAAGACCAGGTGGTTGAAGACCTCTAAAGCACACTGTGTATAAAAATGGCCGGACCCACACGTAGCCCTCAGTAAATTCTAGAAAAGACTGAAAGTGCTCCCCCAGGGTTCTGTAATATATAAAAATCTAAAAATTTGCTGATTATTTAACATTTTCCTGATCAAGCTGTGGTTCCAGATTCTAAGTCTGTTTGATCTGCTACTGACGTGTGTGTTCAAATTTGGGTCACATGTAAGGGGACAGTGAATCTGTCAGATATGTGTTGTTCTATCAACGCCCAGTGAAGACTACGTTGTGTCCACAGATATCTTATGGCCTTGACGCATTTTCCATGTGTTGGTGTTCAAACATGTCCTTGTGTCCTTACATACTCACTCATGTAAACCTATGTTGAGCACACATGTACACTCTGGATGTTTTTTCCCATAATCAGGAATGAAACACACAGAAGTTGGACAAATAGGTTGTTCACATAAAACAATCAATACTTACCAAGTTACACAAGAGAACATAAGCGATGCAGTGGTTTTATTTTCAAGGTGGAGTCTATAAAACTATACATCTACATTTAAAAAAAAGTTCACATTTGGGTAATCAACAGCTAGGTTGGTTCACATATTATTCCTCTTCATATTTATTGGCACAATTAGGCTCATTATTTTGTTTTTCTTTAAAAATGTATGTGTGCGTTCTGTCAAAGTTGCTCTTTCCGTGAGTCAAGACAAAAGCAGAGAGTGACTCAACTCACCATGCAGATGTGACGAAAACGAGGTGTTGCTGACTCATGCATTGCATGGCGAAGAAGTCAGGTTTTAACCAGGTTTGTTTGAATCCAGTGCTCACCTGCATCAATGTTTACGTGAATTTTTTGGGATCACCCTTTTTTTTTTACACAAAGTGCCTAAAAGACTTTGGGAACAGAAGACTTTGTTCTTTATGCTATAGGAGAGGAAATAGAAGAATCTATATTTGGGAACCAGAGAAAAGGAGCAGCCTGGGACTATTTTTTGGCGGTGTTTCTTGCAGCCCTGCGCCTTCTGTCAATGTCATATTTCCCTTGTGAATGCAGAACACCGTGTGAAGCGGCTCGTGTAGTTCTGTATCTGAGGCCAGTGTTTGCATCATGACTCTGCATTTCATTTCAAATCCATTGAACTCCACACTTACTCATTTTTATGTTCTTTAATAATGGCGCTGCTCCTCATTCTCCACTTTGATTTTGCCTGCGTTTCCACACTGAGGTGCAAAATCGACTTGGCGGGGAAAAGGCAGAATCAGTCATTTCTGCAGGTACACGGTGAACGAGGCGGGTCAATGATCCATGTACAGTTTGCAGTGTTGCCCTGTGAGTCATTCGCTGTGGCCAGAGGTGTAGAACCAAAATTTGGGATTCTCACAGTAGACAATATTGCACCTTGCCTGTCGTAGGTCATAGAAATTGTCCCTTAAGCGACAATGTTGGCTCAGACCCTCAAACAGCCAGGTCCACCAGGATTTAGCTTCTGCAGCGTCCTTGCTCCGACCTTGCCATAAATTTGCAGACTCTTTCGTCATAAACTGCTCTCTCCTCCTCTCTCAGGCAGACGGAGCCAGGTGTCTCCTGGTTTCTTCTGCCTCTTTATTGTTTTGTGATATCTACATTGTCACATTAACATCTGAATTTTTTTTTTACATTTTTTCCCCCATTCAGCCATGCCTAAACTGATGATGACCGTGGCAAATATTTATATTAATAAATTAAGCAGGTAATTTAAGACGCTTGGTGGTGAAATAAATAACACAGACTGGAAGGAGTGATAAATTATGCTCAGTGATTTTCTTCTGTTGCAGGGTTTTAATTATGTCTTAATCCAATTTGAGATGATAATCCAAGCCAGTGCTCCAGTCATACCTTTACCCTCCGTTCCGAGCTCCTTCGTGGAGATAAGACATGAATGCAGATAGGATTGTCAGACAGAGACAAATTATTTCACAGGTGATATGTTCGCTTGTGTGTATACGCTCAATACACGTGAGAGTAGAATCCCTACTTTACGGTGGTTTCCCAGACAGGTAGGAAATCAGTGCAGTGATGGCGCAGATGTAGGTAATGATTCCAAACACGATGGAGAGCACGGACAGCCACAGAGCCTGGCGCGATGCAGCGTTGGCCCCCTGAAAATCCCCCTGAGCTGCTGCCTTGTTGGTCTGAGAATTCAAGGAGAGAGTGAGATAAACATTAAACGTCAGCAGGGAGAGCAGTATTTCTCATCGTTTGCTTTTGTCCTCTATGACAAACACTTTCCTCTTCCCACATATTCGCATGAACAAGGTTAACCCCTGTATGCTCCATTTATGAATTACACCTGACATTTGTGCTTCATTCATCACCCCCCGCCTCTCCCTCCCTCCCTCCCTCCCTCTCTCCCTTTTAGCAGTCCTTGTCTTTGTCTCCTGACCCTGCTTTAGGCAGCACTCAACAATATTGGAAATCTATCACCTTGGGGCTTATTGTTATGACTCTTATTAAACCTTAACGCAGGCTATTGATCTAAACAAAAGGCCTTTGTATCTTACTGCCAGTTAGCTTTGCAGTCCACGTTAATGGGATTATTTTAGCACTGCTGGAATGATGCCTGCACAAACTAGGGAGATTTTGCGACTGGAGGAAGAGGTTTGTGAATTTCTCCACTGTGGGAAAACTCATATTTTCACATTTACATTTTCAATTGAATAAATCTGAAACCTACCATGCACCAAGACCTATGCTGCTATATTCTAATGTTGGTCATCAACATTACATTACATCAACTCAGAGAGCTTAATGTTTTCTCAGGTGGTCCAGAGTATAAAAAGTTGGAGAACCACTGGTCGAAAGTCAACCTGTTGTTAGTTGAAACATTGGGAACTAGACTCTCAGTCCACACCACTCGTCATCTTGCTACTCTACCTGTGTGGGTATGTGTACGTGGTGGTGAGTGTGTCTGTGTACCTTCTGCGAAAGGTAGAAGGCAGCGATTCCCAGGGGCCAAAAACAGCAAAGCATGGAAAAGAAGGCCAGACCCAGGTAGTCCTGAGGGATCATGAGGGGGAAGTTGGTGTCACTATCTGTGTCACTGAAGTCATCGATCGACGAGTCCTGGGATTCAAATCGATATGAGTTTAGGTTAGAGCACAGCAACATCTCTGAAGAAAATATATGCAAGGGTATATAAACGATATTAAAATAAATAAATCAATTTCAATGTAGGTCAATTACTTTAGCCTGGTCATGTGAATAGTACCTTCCAAGGCAAAAAAAGAACTTTGTCTCTAGGGGTAGGGATACTTGACAGGATATTTTCCTGGAGAGATATGAAATATTTTTTACACTTAAATCTAAACATACTTAATATATACATTATATGCCGTAGCTGTATGGCACAATATGACTACTACACACTAGAGAAATGTAAACTATTTACTGTATGTTTTTGCTCATGGTCTACCAGCAAGTCCTTTGCAATCTACTTTTGGGACATCCCTGACCTCATTATAATTAAACTGGCAGAGTGTGAGAGAATACAGAGCAGAAAGCAGCCAGTTTTGCCATAGTGTCAAATTTGTTTGATTTCCTTTGAAAGACCTGTCAATCACAAACAGTCTTCATGTGTGGTCTAACTGAAAGTGTAATGCAGTACATTCATTTATTATCATTTTATCTATTGTGAAATTGTTGCACCAGCACAAACTGGTGAGGATTCAGAGTAAATGTTGGAAAAGATCCTATGTCTTTGCCAAGGCGGAATTCTTGCCGAGTGGTAACTGTTAAAAACTTCCTTCAGCCTCATTGTTCAGGATCGACTGTCCCTGAAAACTTCCATCTAGTTTTATTACCCGGCTATAAATAGCTAGAAGCTGCTTATTTGTGACATTTTACACTGTGCTATCTCGGTGAGTTCCAAATCATTTCATGAGCAGCGTTATGGTTTTTTTAAAGCTTTTTTTTTTCATTTCACAGGTTGTGCTGAGCTCAGGGATCTGTGAAATAGAACTGGCATCATCTCCATTACCACTGTGCTGTAGTGTTAGTAAAAAGGAGCTTTAAGTAATCTGGCTTTTTTGACAGGCAGTGTTCAATTATTGCTAATCCTAAAAAGCACCGCTGAGACTGTATGTCTATGTAGAGCTCCACTGAGCAGATGTAACAGACCTGAGATCAGATTACTTAATGCCCAAATGATAAATTCAATAAATGGAAATCTCATTTTTATAATCCCAAACATTTTCTAATTCTGTTCATTCAGTCACTGCGTTTGAAAATATTCATCATTTTTTAGTCATCAGCAAAAGAGTGCACAGTGAAAACTAGATCCATGACATTCACTAAATCACATTCTAAAATTCAAAATAACATTTGCAGCATTTGCTTCTCGAAGGAGAAGAGTTCAAACAACAAAGAGTGTTTGTATCTGAATCAGAGACAAATTCCCCTTTGGCATTTCTGATTAGTCTTAAATGCGTAGATTACAGAGATTTCCAACAATAGTAAGTCGCCTCCAAGGGACTGTGCAGCACATCTAATCCTGTTACACCACCCTGTTCCCCCATCCTCCCAACTGGCTTCGTTGGTGGGTATAAACAGCCCCTTTGCATCCTTTGATTTGCATAACAACCAACTACTGGTTCTATTTTTAACTGGTGAACGTTTTTCACCCTAAAAACACATTTATAACAAAAAAAAAAAGAAGAACTAAAGATGCATGTGCTTCACTCTTAATGTTAATGAAGCTAAATGTGAAAAGCTAACATTTAGACATTTATATTTATTTTTACCCCCCGTTGACCTGTGTCTGACCCCTCTGGAAATACTTAACATGTTTGGCTTTTTGTGTTATTTCAGAATACTTGGAAGTATTTACTTTTTATGGAGTACATATGTCTGAGTTCAGTTAATCAAATGAATCAGTTTGAAATATTACAGGAGAAGCAGCTGGTCCTTGAGGTTTGTTTTTATATTATCACATTTACCTTTGTGAAAGACTTGACACACCTGTGATAATGCAAGTAAGTGAAAAACCTTACGTCAGAGTCTGGCAGGAGGTCATCCTCATCGTCCATGCTGTAGGACACACTTTGGTAGTCCTGAGCCTCAGCCAGTAGCTTCTTCTCCAGGGTGGAGCCGGGCTGAATGTCCACAAACGTGGTCTCCAGGTAGTCCTTAGTAACCATGGAGTCTGTATTGTTCCAGATGGGGGCCGCTGGGTAAAAGGACTCCAGTGTGCGCGGTAAAGCACATGGATCCAGTAACTGCTGTTGCTGCTGCTGCTGCTGGTGGCGAGCAGGATGATCACCACAAAAACCCCACACTAAAGAGGGGGGGGCTCTGGAAATACTTAACATGTTTGGCTTTTTGTGTTATTTCAGAATACTTGGAAGTATTTACTTTTTATGGAGTACATATGTCTGAGTTCAGTTAATCAAATGAATCAGTTTGAAATATTACAGGAGAAGCAGCTGGTCCTTGAGGTTTGTTTTTATATTATCACATTTACCTTTGTGAAAGACTTGACACACCTGTGATAATGCAAGTAAGTGAAAAACCTTACGTCAGAGTCTGGCAGGAGGTCATCCTCATCGTCCATGCTGTAGGACACACTTTGGTAGTCCTGAGCCTCAGCCAGTAGCTTCTTCTCCAGGGTGGAGCCGGGCTGAATGTCCACAAACGTGGTCTCCAGGTAGTCCTTAGTAACCATGGAGTCTGTATTGTTCCAGATGGGGGCCGCTGGGTAAAAGGACTCCAGTGTGCGCGGTAAAGCACATGGATCCAGTAACTGCTGTTGCTGCTGCTGCTGCTGCTGGAGCTCAGGATGATGTCCACAATAACCCCTCCATGCAAAGGGAGGGTAGGCCCTGTCCTCCTCACACTTCACCAGGATGCCCTTGAACAAGGCACCGGAGGCCTGTCCAGTCCTGGGCACCAGCCCCGGAGCTGTGGCCCAGCTGTTACTGGGGTTTTCTCCGAGAAGAGGGTGCTCCAGCTCATCCGGATTCTCCATCTGTCTTTGTTAATACCACCCACACAGGAGACCACCACATCAACAATCTAATGTAATTTACAAACACTTAGCGGCTGACAGCGTCCAATCAGCTTATGCAGAAGCAGCTGCTGTGCTGGTTTTTCGGTGTTTTCTCCCATAATCCATTTTAATCCTATTCTTTTAATTTTTCTAAACAGGGTTGCGTCCAGAGGGCAACACACATTAGGTTCATCAAACCCCTTATGTGCAGTGAGATGAAGTGCTACGGCTGAGTAGGTGTTTTGAAGACGGCCTTTCCTTCTGTGTAATGAGAAAATGTTTCACTGTGCAGCAGCTCAGGATTCGCCTGGTGCCTTCCATTTGACAGAACACACGAATGATAATGAAAAATACGTTGTGTTTTTTTTTACATTGTAAGGAAATGTCGACCGTAATGATATTAGATTGTGATTAGGCTCAGACCGATCAATAAAATCTGTGCCTGCCCTCAGGCACTGTCCTGACAAAGTCTATATCAATAACATGTTAGGCCTCTGCCTCAGCACAGTCTCATTGTTTTGAGTAAAAACAAAAAAACAAAAAAAAAACACCTGATGTCAGTCTTTCTGGTTAACAACACAACGGACGATGCAGACGGAGGACTTGAGAAAAACTTGACGAAGAAAGTCCATGAAACAGAAGACAGGAGGCATCAGAACCTGCAGGAGGCTGGATTGATGATGCTTCAAAAATGGACCACTGCAGTGAACACCAGCAGATCAGTGGACCTTCCTGTTCCTCTGTTGTTGCTGCACAGATTGATAAATAAGGTATCAAAGTGGGCTGCTCTGGATTTATGGCAGTTCTCCTTAGGGACATGTAATTTTAATGGTCCTTGTCCACGTCGAGGGGGTTTCCTCAGGACAGAGGAACATTATGTTGATTCAAAGACCGCGTCTCTGATGACTGAGAAGGCTGTTAACAAAAGAAAAATACAGTAAATCATATAGATATATACAGAGAACAGGAATTCACTAAAACAATATAGATACATATATAAAAGACGGCCACTCTTTAATAAACACAATCAGATTCAACCACACTCGTTGCTCATTTGTACCCAGCATGCAGCAGCTGAAATACACTTCTTATACTCATACAGTAATAAATCAATTTCTGGTAAATGTTTGCAACCAGAAAAATATAATTTTCCTCTAAAAATAATAAAAATAAGACAGGGAATTTAATAATATAATCACGTTGCGATATAACATACCTTTAAATAAAAGCACAAACCTTTTTTAAAAGGTATAGGCTATAATCTTGAAGCTGAAGGTAAACTAATAGTTCTTACCGGTAGTTCATTTCATTTTTAAAAACTTATTTTAATCCAATGTTTAGCTGTCTGACCTCTGTTTTGGTAATATTTGATATATTTTAGGATCCAAATTTTACTTCATATTTTATTTTATATTTTATTTTATTTTGAATACATGCTGCAGCGCAGATACACATTTAAAAATACAGTAGACTTTAGGTCTGCATTGGTGGAGGTGTACGGCCTAGGCAACCCAGGTTAGTGGATGCTCAGTGCTCATTTGTACCCAGTAAACAGCAGCGTAAGGATTGGACCTCTGAATAACTGGCTGCCTTGGATTTATGTATTTAACCAATGAACCAATATTTATTCCCACCAATCTCAATAAAAAAAAGTTTGGACAGTTCAATTTTGAACTTTATTCACTGAAATTCTGAAAAGCCTTTATGGGCTTTTCATTCCTGTTGAAATAAAAATGATTAATTTTCACAAAAAAGTCTAGCATCTGATCCGCAGTTAGCACAGCAGAATGCTTCACAGACATGAGATCATTCCAGTGACTTGTTGTTTCCAGCCTCAGTGCACAGCACAGATAAAAATATAAGATGGAATAATTGGCTGTCGTTGGGCTGAAGTGATGCTCAGGGCTGTATTCAGCTACTGTGGAGCTAAAAATGTTTCACTTCCAAACTTCCTCCCTTTTCTCCACCATGTCGTTGCAACACTCACACTGTAGAAGCAGAGAAAACAACCACAAATGAGCAACCAGGCAGAGAAAACACCCCCCTCACCCAAACCCTCCCCCTTCATGTGACACAGGCAAACAAACAAATGTGGACGTAACACGCTCACAAAGTCACATTAGTGCAACAATGCAGCCTTCCCCTCTCCTCCTCTGACTGCAGCATCATTCCAGGAGAGATGCACTCAGCTTTATTACACTTCCTCCCCAGCCCAACCCGTGTCACCTCTATTCATCCGCCATAAAAAGACTTCTGTCAGCTGTATTATAAGCCTGCCTTCTTTTTTGATTCTGCAACGCACATAAAACATCCAGTCAGGTAGAGGGAATGTTGCAAGGACATGGTCTCAAATCACCATTGACACTTTTACAAGAGCTCCTGGTCCTCCTCTCTCCTCCTCCTCCTCTCTCCTTCTCATCTTCCTCTCCTTCTGTTTATTCTGGTGCTGTGTCTCACACGCAGCCAAAACGTCTACTCTCAGCTCAACTTTTTTTTGCTCAAACTCTGTTACTTTTTGATTTCTTTGCATCGAGCCTCTGCACAAAACAAAACAATCGGTGGAGTGTTCCCACTCTTGTTGAAAGAATGCTTAGCATGCTTGGTACCTTCAGAACTTTGACGTTTCATCAATATGTCAATAATACAAAACATAATGCATTGCCATCCACTTTTAAAGCAGGGAGACTAAAGCTAATGCTAAGCTACTCAGACTCTTCTTAATACAGTATGTAGGGGTGTGTATTAGCGTTGAACTGGTGATACCATACGTATCACGATACATTGATATGTAGGAAAACTGTGAGCATAGTAAACACACAATACTGTTACACACTAGAGAAGAAATAAAAAGCAAAATAAAATGAACCAACACCATGAATAAATGCATGTTAATGGCTAAAAAAAAAACATCCATAACCATACGATACTGTGAAACCAAATATCATGATATTTCAGTGTATCACTATGTTCTTACCCCCCTAACAGTATGTGAGACTATTTGTTCTATTTTTGGCTATTATCAGAAGATGAACAGATGAACTGTAAAGATGACAGGGACACCTGCTGTGATGTATGGTTCAACAGACAGAACGCTGAGTTGGACGTTGCGTAAAAAAAAAAAAATGCTGAGTTCTTCCCAATCGAAGTGACCAGAAGGGACAGGGTTAGAAATGAGCAGATCAGAGGGGCAGTTAAGGTTAAGCAGTTGGGAAATAAAGTTAGTGAAGCAATAAACGGGTTAGACATGTGCTGAGGAGAGATACTACATGTTGTAAAAAGGCCGCGGGAGACGCAGCCGCCGGGCAAGAGGCACAGAACAAGACCCCAGAGAAGATTTATGGATGTATTGAAGGAAGATATGGACACGGTTGATGTAACAGTAGAGGAGACGGGGGAACAGGCTGAGGTGGAGGCAGATGATCAGCTGTGGCGACCCTCGAAGGGAGCAGAGATCTAACCTCATCTCTGAGGCCAATTCAACCCTGCAGAAGAAAACTGATTCTGACCACTCAACAATGTCTGCATGACACATCACGATTCACTGAGGAATATATAAGGGACACAATGTGGTTTCAAACTTAAAGCAGCCTCATTGAATATCTCAGTGGTGGTATTCCTACAGTAAGCCTTTTACAGATTAATTACACACCTGCGTACAGGCTCTGTGGGCGCCCTTTATCTCGTTAGCACCCCTGCAAGGACGGACCTCTGGTCCAGTGTAACAACCATATTGTCTTTGTTGGATTCAGACACTGAATTCACCCTGGATGAGCTATCCCAATAATCAGGTGTACAATTTCCCAGAAAGGCTGAGTAGCATGACCCCAGTGTGGGGTGGGGGCGGTGGTGGTAAAAATGAGAAATGGAATTGGGCCTTTGTGTGGCATCTTCTTCTTCTTCTTCTTCGCTGCACCATCAAATGTGAAATGTTGCTTTAAACCCTGTTGCTGCTGACTCTTTACTTCTAGCAGATTTTTAGCAACGCTGCAGTCTTTTACACTCACACAGATCCTCTGTCTTACAGTGCTCACACAAACACACACACACTAACACAAAGCTGAGCTGAAGGTAATTGCTGTAATACTTCAGCTGATACAGTACAAGGAGATGCAGATACAGGGAAAACACTTGTGGAGTATAAAAAATAGACACACCGACTGTGGAAAAGTGAAGTTGTTATTGCCAGTGGGTTTTGATGAAAAGACGTCTTGATGAGGAACAGCGTCAGAGAAACCTCCCAGATATGATATATGAAAATCCAATTTCCCCCTTTTTAAAAGCCCGATTGATTTCATTATGAACCCCTTCTCTCCTCTCTCGCTTCGTCTTTCACGTCTTGATCTGCGCGGAGTAAAGCGGCGGGTAGGAAACTCAAACAGAAAAGACACAGTCAAAAAACACAGGCAGCTGCGGTGGCGTACGCTGCACAGCTCGCGGAGCTCAAAGTAACATCATGTTCCTATGGAAACACATCCACTGTGAAGTGCAGTGCTCACTGCAGGGTAAATGAAGCAGAGACTAATTTGCCATTTCAGTGCTGTTGCACTGCTCAGCTTGATAATAACTGGATGGGATCATTCCAATGAAGCTGTGACTTTCAGTGAGTATGTGTTGCTCTCACATTAGACGATAAAAGGGAATTATTTCTACCAATCTAGACTAATGTAACAGATTAAGAGTGCGGTGCCTGCAGCTGGATTTACTTTAAATCTGTGTTTAAAGAGAGTGAGATATTAAAAATCCACCCTTAAATATCTGAACTAGCCCGTACAGTTCTCATGACAGGTGCTTTGTGTAGTCTGGAAAATTGTCAAAAGTTAGTCAAAATGTACATTATGATGTGGTTACACATAAATAGCTGAAAATTGTTACTCAAATGGTTAAACATAATCAAAATTTAGGAATACCACATGACGTGCAGCTCCTGTAAAAACACATATCTATTTATTTATAGATCTTCTGTGGACATTGTCCTCCCAGATCTTTTCCCTCTTTTGGTAAACTATTTCGTAGGATATAAATTTCAAACAGAAACATTCCCTTTCTATTGCTGACTTTGACTTATTTTAAATCGAAGATGGAGAAAAACGTATCTAAAATTAGACACTACAGGTTCAGGATGATGCCAGGAGTGAAAATGAGTCTCATTTGGCTTTGAGTTATATTTTGAGTTATTTTTCTGACAAACATGTGGTCTCTGATGTGAGCGTCGTATTCGGAGAACAAGAGATCCACAATTAACTGACAGTTAACATAACTGACGCCATGAGATCAGTGAACGCCACAGACATCATTATATTATAAACATCGAAGACGTGATCGGGTTCCTGTTTGATGATCCAGCTGCCAATCACATAAGGTTATCCATCACTTTTTAACCTTTCCCCTTTTCTCTTTATGCTAGCTAAGGTATTTCCCAAATAAAATAATCAGAGAGCTGTGGGATGAAAAGCACAGGGAGCAGGGCCTGATCATGGACCATGGAGGAGACTGTAGTACAATGCACCCTAAAAAACAATATAAAGACTTTCAGAAATGAAAAGACATAGGATGTCTCTCGTCTGTGCTACAGCTCAGAATAGATAGATCCCCAAAAATTTTGCAATTTAAATTTAAATTATTTTAAAATATTGTGATCATATTGATGAATAAAAAAACGAAGCACAATGGTTTTCCTGCTAAACCACAGGAAAGAAAAAAACAAAATGGAAATTTCCAGACAGAGGCAATGACTATTTTTAGCTTAGAAGCAATAGTCAGAATGAACTTAGAATATAACAAGATCAGGTGATGTTTTTACAACCATGTTTTATGTACATTTCAGGCTAAGTTTCCTGTTATTCACTGCGATGCTGAGCTACCAAGCAACAGCACTGAGGCTACACAGTTTCAGGCTAGTCTCTGTTTCAGACTGCAGATCTCTGTTGGTTCGATACTCGATTGAATAACCATTACACCGAACATTCATCACCGTGGTCAGGAAAGTAATCCACGCGTTAACCTGTTGTTGGAATTATGTTTCACCTTTGACAGTTTGGCACGGCTGAGATATCCAAATGCAACTACTGTAAATATCTGCCATGGATTTTTACATTTACTTCACACATATACTGCAGTGTGCTGACCTGCACTTGGCCGCGTTGGCTTATCTGTATGTGAGGTGTGTATTTGTGTGTGTGTGAGACTTGTGTAATCTTGTAGTTGTGTCCGGTATCTGTGTACACACACACACACACGAGGACATTCAATTTACAGAAACGGTCAAATTCAACTGGACTTTTGGCGGAAACGGTCAAATTCAACTGGACTTTTGAAAGCATCCAAAGCCCAAACATGTAGCGGTTTGTGAATAAGTATTTTGGAGGTGAACGTCGCTACCAGTAACTGTGAACCATATGTGAGCAGACGTGAGCAAAATGAGGGGAATATTATTTCAAATACTACAGACTACTTGGTGTGTGTTTGCCTGACAGCTAGGAAAACACGACAAACTACGCTACGGTTTAACAGCACTGCAGATTACACTTAGCTACAGCCGTGAGTTAATGTAAGCAAACAAAAACAATGGGGCAGTGTTTCTGTGAGGGTGGGGGTGGGTCTCTGCAGCTGATGGGGTTCCACTCAGCTGCAGCACCATCTCCACTAAATGACAGGAAATGAATTTGAACATCAATTTCAATCTTACATCTAACTTACATCAACATCTAACCTTTACTATAGTAAGAGGACGCCTGGTTCTGTGGATCGACAGTGTCAGGACCTGAGCTGAAAGTCAAACTTGAATATTGAAGACATTTGAAAATCTATAGCAACATCTAACCTTTACTATAGTAAGAGAAGATTGATAGAGATAGAGATAGATAGATAGATAGATAGATAGATAGGAATTAACAGAGCTCTGCAAATCAAAACCAAATACAAATTCAATAAGAATAGGATAAAACATAGTTGCTGATGAACATGATAGTGGATTAGTCAATAAATTCATTGTTGCAGACAAAGAAACATACCAAAATTAGCCGTTTGTCATTAATAACTTGTCGAATTTCTCACCTGTTTTCTTCCTATCAGGGACTTGTTCCGGTGGAGAATCCACAGTCCCAGTTTGTCCACCATCCATATAACTGTATATATAATAGATGGTCTTTTCACACACTGTCAGTTCTTTCTAGCGTGGGCTTGTGCAGAGGGAAAACCGTGTCACTACACGTTACTGTAAGTTGTCAGCACATTGTCCTCGTGTTTGTCGTTGGGAGATAAGTTCTACTGTCCTACTGTGTGTCGAACTTATCAAAGTCTTCTACCCGAGGAGCTGTCGGTGGCGTTCTCGGTGTTCCTGCCGATGAACCTGTTCTACACAGCTGGTCAGCAGCAGACAATGTTCTCCTCAGCACAGAGCCTCCTCTCTGCTCCTCCTCTCTCACGAATCCCTGTTGCCGTGGTTGGTGCAGCGTCCACCGCTACGTGTCGACCCTCCTCTGTCAACTGCAGCCTTTCTCCGAGCCTCCAAAAACAGATCTCTGCATCTGTCCTCCTCCCTCCTTCTCCTCCTACTTGTTCTCTTCACTCTCATTCTAGTTGTCTTCCCTTATTACAGCAGCACCGCCATCCCCTGGGTCCTAAAGCCTGTTTACCCTTGGAGAACCTGACCCAGTCTGACGAAGGCAGGGATTTAAAATGTAAAAGAAATGAAACAAATAAATAAATAAAACAACATATATCAAAGTGACTTCACACTTGTAAAAAAAATAAAAAAATAAAAAAATAAAAAAAATAAATAAAAAACCACACACACCCAACATATATACACATATTGGTCAAACGACAAAAGTGTGTTTCATGGACTACACACTTTTCTAATATTACATTTTGTGTATCCATTTGTAAACCCAAGATGCAGGTGACACAGTATATATATATGTATACACACACACACACACACACACACATATAGAGAGAGAGGCAAGGCCCTACAAAAAGATGTGTATATTTTGTTAAAAAAAAGTATTTGTACCATGATGAACGTTACCTTGTTAAATTGTATTTACTACTTAGCTGTTAAAACAGTACACAGGAGACGATGTTTGTGTGTGTGTGTGTGTATATGTTTATATATATAAATAGTATGTGTGTGTGTGTGTGTATATATATGTTTATATATATAAATAGTGTGTGTGTGTGTGTGTGTGTGTATCTTGTCTAGGAGAGAAATGATTGTTATGAATGTTGTGACACTGAAGCGAAACAGATTTTGGTCAAAAGCAGCTGAGAGTACACTCGTGCTGTCCACTATCTCTACTGTGTGTTGTCCCAGAGTGGAGATATGAGGGGAAATGCCCCGTAGCGTAGATGACTTCACTTTGTATATCAGGCTCTGACCCAGTTTGCATGCCTTTACAGGCCATCTTCACATTAAGCCTTGGGTTTGGTGGCGAGATTACGCTAACGCATTAGTGCACACCAGCAATCAATGAAATCCTGATGGCTTATGCTGAGCATTTAATGAGGTTCACTGCTTCTAGCCAGAATACCCCTATGCTGCCAGGTATAATTTATTAATTTATTGGGTTTTTTTTTTTTGTATGTTTGTAGTCACCAGAAAAGCTGCAGAGCTGACTGTTTTGATGTTTTATTTGTCTCTGGCTGTCAGAGTTACAAAATTGCTCTCATTTCATCATGTAACAATAAATCAATACGCACCTCGTTACTCCCTTTGTGTCTTGTTTTTCTTTCTTTTGCGCCCACCTTTCATCTGATTTCATTGGCCTCTTTTTCTCTCTGTGTCTCAACCTTGATGAGAATGTATCACGGAGGAGCTGAAGAATGGACGGTAAAGGACAGGTTTGAGCCTGGAAGGATTGATCATGTGAGGAGAAGTCAAATGAAAGCACTAATGATAATACATGTAGCGAGAGGCTGATGTTTTCACTGTCTGTATCGATCGTTCAGAGTACTTATATTATAGTAGTACCCAATAAAAGAACAACAACACCAGTCTGTACTCAGTCTGTGCAAGATATACTGACATTATTTATATATGGATTGTTTTAATGGTTTGATACATTTTGGTCAGTGAACTTTGGCATTAGTGTTCTTCTCTGTCAGTCACACTGCTGCTTTATGTAACAGAAACTGCATTTGTTTTGTTTTTAGTTATTTTGTAATATTTTACTGTAAAGTGAATTATTCAGTTTAGCCAAAATATTCAAAATACATTTTGTGAATTTTATAAATAATTTCCTGCTGCATTATTTTTTTTTAAAGTATAGTGTATAGCATGAGCTGTGTTCTAACGCTTAGGTGTGAGACTGAGTGAACATAAGACTCTTATCTCCTCACCTATTATTTTTTACAAGCCGATTTGAGAATAATGAGATCACCGGGGGATTGAGGCGACATTCACTGTATGTGAGAGGACCGCGTCCACCGTACAGCTGCCGACTCTTTACCCTCTTTACCAGATTGCAGCAGTTTGACTGCGAGCAGAATTTAAATGAGGTTCGACTGCATCAACAACAACACGGTGCGTGAAAGGAAAACACCGCGAGCAAAAACAACAAATGTTGGGGTTGTTGTTGTAGTGTTCATCCTTTCAGAAAGCGCTGACAGTATAATGTCCACATTATCCATCCATCCATCCATCCATCCATCCATCCATCCATCCATGTCCACATTAATGGCTCACAAAAACCTTACAAGGGAAAATGTAGGTGGAGAAATTAATGGAGGTGTGGGAGGGGGTAGTATTAGCAGGAAGCCTAAGGTGGTAAGTAGCTTAACAAGGAAAACAAAGCTAATCCAATACTCACAGAGGAAGGAAAAGAAAATCACCCTGGAGTGCTACAAAGACAGCTATAGATAAACGTATCTTCAGGTCTGTAGGTTTATTATGTTAGCTGTGGAATTCATTGACAATATCGGACATGTGTTAAAGAGTGGTGAAGGATCTTTCCCCCAGGTTACCGCCTTCTACCCCAGGAAACATATTAATATTTGAGCGAGGAGTAATCTACAGTGTTATCTCTGTGACAGAGAAAGGCCGATTTCCTGTTCGTGCACCAGGCACTATTGTCAAAATGCAAATACGGCAGCTTCATCTCCTGTATGTGCTTCGAGCTGCTAATGAGGAATGATTTGTTTGCCCACACACAAAGTGCAGCAAGGCCGAGGTTTTTAAGTCTTTCCACAGAGGACGTGTAGCCACTGCTGTTCATTTTTCACCGGGAGGCAACACACTGGGAAATAATGGACTCTTCTGTCATTTTTCTTCCCTCCGTAGACGCCATTACTTGTCACAGGAACTAAATTATTTATCTCATATGATGGAGTCTTGGCTAATTGTTTTAAAAGACCAATCTGTTGAATCCATAACCACAGTCATCATGTGACTGACTGGCAGTAAATGATGCCCTGATCAGAAGGTTATCTTGGGTCCAGTGAATCAAAACTGCAGCCTCCAACAGCATAAAAGTTTAATTGACATGACAACTGTACGTCAGTGTTCAGACAGCTCAGTATTCATTATTAAATGGGCATAAAGAGAAGGTCAGAAGGGGCTCTAGAGTGATTTCTGGAATTTAGTGAAAACCATACAATGAGGCGAGAATTTCAACAGCTAGAAAATCGAAGGAACTAAGTGAAAATAAATAAAAAATGTGAATAATAAAATCTGTCTATTTATGGTCTCAGTCATTCAGGTCCCCAACCTTTTTTGTACCAAGTCGGTTGGTACTGGTCATTACTGCAGACCAGTTGCACTGCACCGATCGGTGAAGGGTCATTAAATTTTACTACTACTATTTACTAATAAATAACACTACTCTGTAAGTATCGGAATCAGATTAATATTCCTCAATTAAAAATTAAGTACATTTTTAAAAATTCTGTTCCACTACAACCCGGTTTCAATTGACGTACGGACCAGTGCCATAGGGGTTGGGGATCCCTGGCTTAAGAACCCCTCCTGTAATACTGCACCTTTTTATTTGCTAAGTTAAAAAATACCAAGTTTTCTTGGCATCACAGAAACAAACAGAGACAAAGAAAAGGGTATGAAGAGCACTGAGTGAAACCACGGCCGACAGCACAACTTTCTCCACCTAATTGTTGTCTCCTCTTTCTGCCTTTCTTTGAAGTGATTGGTTCAGCAACACAATCCTATTAAAATAAAGCTTGTGCTTCCAAAGGATTACCTATCTGTTGGCATAGACAGTCTGTTCTCTACGCCTCCACCCTCATGAGAACACAATACAGGGAAAGAAATGAGGAAACGTCCATTTTATATCACAACACACTCTATGAAAAAGTGTATTTTCTTCACAATTAGTGTAAGTGAAAACATACATATGATTTACACTACTTCAATGACACTTTAAATTAGAAACAGGTTAACAAGGAAACAGAAAATAAATGTTTTTTATGTACAAAGCAAAAATTGCAAAATGTTTGCTGAAAACAGTTTAAAACATATTTAACATATTTACACGTGTAAAAGTAAATAAGCTAAAAGCGTCACATAAGCGAGTGAATCAAAACACATCTCGACACACTGAAAGGAGATATAACAGCAGAACAGTCAAAGGTAAATAAATTAATAAGATTACATAACAATATTTACATGTAACCACTGCTGACCAAAGGTTAACAACAATGGGATGAAATACAGCAGTAACAAATAAATATACCAACATTAGCCATATGATAGCCTGATGCAAGCCCAGAAATGGCTAAGTAAATATTAGCATTTGAACATATACAGCATATTAACTTGTAATGATGAAACCTGAAGGCATCTCGTTCAAAATAGTCTCCCCTGATTAAAGGTTAGTATTATATAATATATACAGTTTTTGTATATAATATATAATGTCAGAAATATGAGTCCTGAATATCTTCCTGAAACTGCACAACATTGTACGACCAGTGTGTTCATACTGTGTAGTCGGACGGACAGCATTAAACACAATGCATCAGGGAAGAACAATTCAACTCAGGTCACCAACAGTTTCAATTAAATCACAGAGGTGTCCTCTGATCTTCACAGTCCAGTGTCCTCCATCTACCCCCCTCTCTCTCTCCCCCTCTCTCCCTTCCTCTCTCTGATGCAGTTGGTGGTCTCTAATTATTTCTCTTGTCACATTCACTGACCCCACAGTGAACTGAAGCAGCACCTTGTTATGAATATAATGAATAAGGGCTGTTGAGCAGCAGCAAATCAGAGCAGACAGTAAAAATCTACCTCACTTGTTTCTCGACGTGGAACAGCGACACGCAGCACTTGGACCGACCTCATGTGGCCTGTGTCGAGCGTCATATTCATTTTCTGGCACAGGGAGTTTGTACTAATCCTTGTCAAACACATTTTTTGTTTCAGGAACAATTTCTGAGGTAACAAAAAAGTTTTCTCAAAAAAAAAAAAAACAAATAAATAGGGATGTCCTATATTAACTTTTTGCTGATTAGGTGATATTGTCCAAACACTGATTCCAATATGAACCAATTAAGACATAGGCCTGGTGATATTTATTTCTGTACAAACCACTGTGTGAGTATGACATTAATTAAATGAGCTGCAATGCTGCCATCTAGTGACTTTTACTTTAATATACAGTCGTTTATCCCCAAAACATTTTTTAGGCGAAACCCAGGCATTGCGTTATGGGGTGAAAAAGTGGTAACGATTCTAACAGATATTACATAATATGCTAATATCGGGTGATAATATCAGTCGGTGATATTATGGGACATCCCTGTAATTTATTAGACTTGTGTAAAATTTGATAATAATTATTGATCAATGGTCTTGGCCCTGGTGGTTACTACCGGTCTTTATGTTTGGTGTGTTTGCATCTGATGATATTCGTGTTGGAGATGTTTGTAAAATACATAAATATATATATACATATATATATTTGTGTTGAGGATAATTAACTTTGGTTAATTAGGTTTGTACATTAAACTAAGAGTAGCATTTTTAATACAAAAAATCCTTTCACAGAATTTGAAAACTATTTTAAACTAGCACTTTTTGATGGAGGTCAATTTTTGTCCTTAAACACATACTTCCAGCCTTCATTCTGTTGGCTTTCCATGGCTGCAATAAAACCGTTAAAAAGCAATAAAATTAATATTTTCTTGGTGGGTTTACAGGATTAGATATGCAAAACGAAATTGGAAAAAATCCTGAGGGAATAGAATAGGACAGATGGAGGATTGGACTGGCTCTCAGAGTTTGTGTCAGTCACACTGATTAATACCGCCCACTAGAAGGCGGTGTTGGTAGGGTGGGTTGTGCGTGGTAAATGGAGGCAGATGAAGAATAATTGCTGTCTTTAAAATGACTCAGAGAGGCTAAGAACCACCAGGGGAAGAGAGAAGAGGAAACAGGGTTAAATGGGTTGTTTATGAGGGGAGTTAATGGATGGAAAAGAGGAGAATAGGAGGAAAATGTAAAGTGACAGAAGAAGGGGCTTTAATAAAGGCTTTTTAAATCATTCTCTTCAAACCATCCCATCACCCCGCCTTAAAATCCATGCTGGCATTTGTCCTTGATTGCCCTCATTCATAGCCTGTGTCTGAGGAAAGCACTATTTAGAAAAATGTGCCCATTTGTTTTTTCTGATGATGAGACAAATCAATGTTTCCAGCTCACCTAGTTGTTGACTCACTCACCTAGCACAAAATTCTGCACACGGAGTGAGAATACAGTGCAGTTTAGGAGCAATCGGTTGTTTATGCAGTGTGGCTGACAGTGAGTATCAGCAGATCTGAGTGACCTCTGTTCCTGAAGCCCTAAATATGTCTGCATAAAAATGTCAAGATTTAAAATGAGATCCTTTACAGAGAACTGGTATGTGAGCAGTGTTCTGTAGCCTTGACTGTAGAACTAGAGAACGGCCAAAAGTGCTGTTTGAAAAGCCTTATGTAATAGTGAAGTGAGTTACATCTCAATTTTTTTACTAGATCATGAAACACATGTTTAGCTTATATTTAGTAGCACTTTATGCTATTTTTTATTGTAAACCAAGGCCCCAAAAAATAATTGTCAAACATGATTATTATTTTCATTATCAGCATTAGTTTTGGTATTAGTATTATCATTTTATTATTAGTATTAATATTTCTTCTATGACTGCAGTAGGATACAACGAGCACTCATTCCACTGACGTCATTCCCGATGGGAATTTCTAAGCAGGGGAGGGTGGAGAAGGGCAAAGAGGGAGGAGGGAGGGAAGACGTGAGCAATGAGGATCCTTCACGTCGGGTCAACCTCTGTCAGAGTGAGAGGGCTTAAGTGAAATGGTCCCCCTGTGGGAGAGAGAGAGACAGGGAGAGGGAACCACACTCCTGACCATCCTCGTACATCTGCTCAGAAGACGTGGTGATCAACATGAGAACGATGATACGCAGAGGGACGAGAGACAATAGCGAGGGAAGGATTGTTTCTGGATGTGAAGAAGGGGACAAAAGATTTTTTTTTTTTAAACTTTGCTTCGCCTGCACTGGCTGAGTTGTCATCCCGAAGGCCTGAATGATTTATTATAGTCAGGAGTGGCAGAGGAGAGGGCAGCCAGGCAGCCTCTGATTAACTAGGGGAACCAGGGAGGACAAGCACTGCTCTATTATTCATTACTCTACAGGAGCGACGAGTGGGAGCACGGCTTGAATAGCAGAGGCAGGGGAAGACAGAAAGCCACACAAGTGACACGGACGTGTTTTAAAAACATCACAGTTGTTTGTTGTCTGGTCCAAAATGTGTCTTTGCTGCTCTGCACAACTGGGCTCCCTGTCTCGTCTGAGTGCAGCATGAATGCAGCAAGGTATCTGCAAGTAAAATCACGTGAAGACATGCGCGCACACACACTGTCCCTGAGGCATTTTCTTGCTGTCATGTACAGTACATTTAGTGTTGCCATGCCTCAGTTGGTGAGGTGTTGTTTCCCAGCTACAAAGAACTGGAGCTGTATGTTAATGTGTCCCTGGGAAGACTTTTCTCCACTGTATCTTGACATGGGTGAAATACATGCTGAGCACACCTGTACATATATACATTTGTTGAACAGAATTTAAACAAAATATTTGTATTATATATTATTTTTCTGAAGGCTGAATTATGTGCTTCAGAAAAATTCTGACAAACCCAGTTTAAGAATCTAAGATTTTCAGTACAGCAATTTGTTTTTTTTTTTCTTAACAGGAAATGCTTTTTTTTCTTCCGTTAAATATGTTGAAAAAAAAATGTGTCCAAAGGTTTGTGTCCCCACGCCAACATTCAACTAATCTAAATATGCGTGAAAACTGTGGCCCTTCACAAAGGGAATTGTTGCTGTGCTGTGGCACATGATGAAGTGTAAAGCTAAATTTGGATTATGACTTGAAGTAAGGTTAAGTATTTCATTTGAGATTCACAACTGCAGGCTGTAGATGCTGACTACTATCAGGAAACAATGGCTCTTTGAAGGCAGGATTCAGGCAGTGGAAAATAAAACGTGAAGGCACGGAGAATGAGATGTAAATATGAAAAATGTACAACCACGCTGCAGACATGTGAGTGAGTGGTGTCGCTGCCACCCTGCCGTCTTGGAGCAGTTTGCTGGAGAGCACGTCAGTAACAGTTCATTTTGCTCAGTGCTGTCTGTAATGGGCTTCAATGAGGCATCAAATGAGTTCTGCCCGACCAGAATCATTCACTATTATAGAACTCTTCATTACTGCAGATACGTGGTTGGAGTCAAGAAGACGCCTCCATCCATCCATCAGCTCAGTTAATGTGGTTTACTGTATGTTATTAATGATATACTTAGATGTCCAGACATCAGACCAAGTAACATTTCCGCAAATACTTCGGTATTGATTGTGTATTTGGTTTCCAACCAATAAACAGTGTGTGTAAAGCAACTGTAAAAGCAGTTAGTTAGTACATGTATTGAAGTAACCTGCAGTATAATTCAGACAGTATCTCATAGTAACATAAGGCGAGTTATTTTAGCTCTTGAGTCTTTTTGAATAAAGAGGTTTCATCATTAGCCCCATCTCATCTCAGTACTGCATCACACACACCGTATGCAGCCACAGGTCAGTTCAGTCCACTTAACTCAACTGAATTATTAAACAGTCACTGCAGTACTTCATCAACGACCTGTCTCGGTGTGTGGGGTGATTGTTTATGCATCAATGTTGACACTCACATTAGGATTTTTTTTTTTAAATAAAAATGTGATTTTTTTATGTTGTTAATTCAATTGGCGAATGTCAAGCAGTTATTGAAATGAACCGGTGATTCTCCACGAACCTCATATGGAAGTATGAAAAAAAAACAAAAATTAAAAAATCAATCTTATGTTAGTGTTAAATCTTTATTCGGCTGTACAGTGCCACCTGTTGGTCGGTAAATGACATTTCACAGCATTAATATTTTTCACCATAAAAACAAGATTGTAACATCTTCTAATCTTCACATCTTCTCTGCCAACAATTCGACTTTCTCGTGTACTGTGTCATAAGCTATCTGTTGTTTGTGTGCGTGATAAGTTAAAGTATTAGGCGAAGGTGTACAGCAGTGCCAACATACGACAAAAACAGCGTTCTAGTTTAAGAGTATTAGTTCAGGCAGGATGCACTACTATAAATAAAAACAAATCAAAAACATTGGAAACGAGTTTGGGCAAGAGCTTATGGAGATCAACAAATGTAAAAGTAATGTTAAATGGACAGCAGAAAGCTCCAGTTCTACAGCAGCTGAAAAAAAAACATGAAACAAATCCGCATATTTAAAAAAAAATATTTCCAGTGGTCAGTGAGACGAAAGCATCTAATGACAAACAGAGAATTAAAACCAAGTTTCATCGAGTCAGACTGAACCAACAGAAGAGCATTGCAAAACAGACAGGTTGGTTTCCAGTCTCACGAGACGCAAGTTTCAAATAAAATACAAACAGGTTTTAATGTGACAGTTGATTTCATGCCTTTCCATGACTCGGGTGAGGCTTGAGATAATCTTTTTTTTTTTTTTTTACACATGTACACAGTCTTAAAAAGATATTTCTCTAGTCTTTCAGATTTCAGAGCTCTTTTTTAATCAGTCTGTTTTTTTTTTTTTACTCATTCAGTCCAATATCGAGATGCTAACATACAGGTGTTGCCCTTTCCAGCATCGGCCGCTGGGTTGCAGTGTTGCGCTGTATTTAAAAGACTATTTCAAATACGTCACACTTGCACAATCTATAATTAAGTAATTAACCCCAAACAGCCATTTGTGGAAAGGTTTGTTGTCAGCACTCCACAGCTTATGAGAACCGTTAGTGCTACTGTTGGTGTCTGACTGTGAGCTTTAGGCAAGAATGGACTAAAATGACAGAGCTGTTTACATTAACACACTGATTATTGAGAGGGCATTAAGAGCTTGATAAGTTGATGTTCTTTATTAAATACTGCACTGGACTTTTGTGTGAATTTATGGTAAAACACTTGAGAATATGTAGAATACAGAAAATGTATTCACTTGTCCTGTATGTACACTTGGGTCGACATGTGTATGGATTTCAAATTTGACAAAGCTGAAAATGAGCAGATTCGTTCATTCACAGCAACAAAAAAGTGGTGCAAAAAGAAGATGGGCACTGGGCATGGGCACCAGGTACCGGGAGTTTCATGAAGAGAATAATAGTATTTCTGTTGTTTCTGTCATTCCTCACCACTCTCTTGTACAACTGCAGAAACTGCAACAACAAGTCAGGGAATTTGGTTCTGAATGAAGTTTTAAATGGAACCAAATGAACAACTAGTCAGAGTTATTCATTTGGTACATGAGTCAGCACTCGTTTAGTCAGAACTGTTATCTTTTGCCTGCATCAGTGCGGATTCCTTTGAACAGACAGGCAAACTCAAGCCAGAAGAAATTAGAACATGACTCATTAGCTATTTTTCCAATGAACACTGAGACTCTGCCTTTTACTGTCCCCAAGTGACAAATCCAAATCATCTGTCACCCTGTAAAGGCTGCATGCAGTTTTTGAGAACAGTGCCCTGCACTGATCAAACCTCGGGAGGCCACTCAGCACAGGGTCTTAGGCCGAACCTTTGGGAAAAGCTGAAGAAAAGGATGAAAACAAAATGATTCCATGTCCTGTTAATATATAAAAATAATGTTCACATTAGTTACAGTGAATTTAAATTTTACATCTTACCCCAAAGTAATTGTTCGGAACCAATCCTTCCCTGCCATAGAGGGATGCCCACCACCAGTTCGATCCTTCAGGTTTCTGAAGGATCGTCACCATGTCTCCCTCTCTGAAGTTCAGCTCATCTGGGCCCTGAGCCGGGTAGCTCCACAGAGCGTACAGCACGCCGCTGTTCTCCACCCCCATCACCTCCTCCACCCCTGGGGTCACAACATAAAATGACCAATCACCTTCCACAACGTCAAAACAATCTAGGTTTGACCATGAAATAATCAATAATAACAAGCTATATATATATTATAAAACAATAGTAAATAAATAACTTTTAAATGTTAAATTTAGCATTTTAAAGAATGCAAAAAAGCAAGATGATAACAAAACACAAATAATTCAGATTAGCCCACAAAACATATTTTGTTAAAAAGATAGAAGTCATGGCTCCTGTGCCAACGTTTAGACATGCCCATTGTAAAGTTATGGGGTAAATGACAGCTGAAGATTGCCTAAGCCATTGGAAGTGAGAGGAACAGATAACCGGATCAGCGAGTTGGATGTCAACGTCACATCTGATCTGAAACAACAGTGTAATTTGCTGTTTTTACAGTAGGTGGTACTGTAGTGAGTCATGAGGTGTGTGTGTTCGTGTGTTCATCTGCCTTAATGCCAATGTGGGGGTGTCGTCACCTCACCCCTTAGGTAACTTTCACACTCCTCAAAGCCGAAAGCATAGGGATCGCACTTTTGGGAGGCGATGGCACCGTCGCTTTCTGTCATGGCCATGATGGCGGCTCCATTCCTCACCAAGAACTCACACAGAGGACGGTCATTACAAGAGGCGGCACAGTGCAGTGGAGTCCTGTGGGCACAAAGTACAGCACTGAGGGAAAGATGTAGGAAAAAGTGTTTCATCCTCCCAAGTTACATAAGGCAAAACATGGGGTCCAGGGCATGAAATCATATAATTTGAAGGAACGTTCTGCCTGTTCCTCTCTTTGTATACCGAAAAAAAACCCACTTTGAGTTGAGGACTTAAAAAAATAAAAAGGGACTTTCACATTTCTTCTACTGCTGTATACTTTCTGGGCTATTCATCAAAGATACATAGAGAGATGTTCCGTTTCGGTGTTTAACTCCCAGAAAGTCAAAACCATAAACCGCTTCTGTCCTCAAAAGAGCAGCTTCAGAAATTGACTATGAATAGTTTATGCATGTTTCAGCAGTAATTGGAAATACACTGGAACTTAAATAAACAGAGACTCGAGGTGTTCCTTTTTAAAGTTTTCATCTTCTGGAAAATAATTTTTTTTCAAAGTTTGTCAACATTTTAAAACAGAAAATGTCAAATATGAGGTACCACTGTCACTGACAGCAATGTCAACCTGTTCCTGTACTGTGCTACGTCTTGTTAATAGATATGAATCAATTTATTTAAAAAAAAAATTATTCTAAACTAAATGGATTTAATAACTGAGGTGCTCCCTGACATGCTGGACTGCACAGTCACAAAGAGAGACACTGTAGACAGAGAGGGAGTGGGTCATACTGTGAAAACATAGGGTAAATATTTACCATCCGTGGCTGTCTGGGGAGCTCACGTTGGCTCCAATGCGAACAAGGAAGTCCACCACTTTGTAATGTCCTCCACACACGGCGTTGTGAAGAGCTGTGATGCCTTCGTCGTTTGGTTGGCTTGGGTCACTCATCTGTATAACATTTAGCAGATTCAATAAACCTACGGTCAGAACCTCTAACCTCAGACGTACGGTCTCAGGCCAATCTGAACGTAACAAGACCTATTTGTGTAGTTTTTTATTATGACCTAGGTTACTCTACTTAAAGTGGGATCATGACAGTAGGCAAACACAGTCTATTTATACATACTGTATTTACTATATGTGTCACCATGAATATGTGTGTGTATATATAAATAGATAGATAGATGTGCTTATTTTTGACAGTAAGATGTTTCATTAACGGCCAGTTTTGAGATAAAGAACATTCACACACAGACACACACGCACACACCTCCTGAACAGCTCTTTGCACTGTCTCCAGTTCTCCGACCAAAGCTCCATCCAGGAGCAGAACCAGTGGGCTTAATCGAGCTCGGTTTCCCGTTCCTTTGTGTTCCTGTTTGGACCTCCGCAGAATGGAATGGTAGTTCTAATAAAAAGCATGACTTGAATTACTTGATGAGAGTGAAGCTTATTCAGTCATTTAAGATATGTGTAGATATAACAGACCATCAACCCCCCCCCCCCATGGGTGTAAGCTCTTACTCTAACGTCCTGTGGGAACAGTGTCGTTGTCTGAGGGACACGAGGAGGAGGAACAGCACATTCCTCTCCATCTGATGAGCTGCTGGTCTCGCTACCTTGGTCGCCTTTGGGGCTGTGTTCTTTTCTGCGAAAAAGCTTGTCAATGAGATTTTTGTACTGGTTGGGCTGGTAGTGGGAGGCACTCTTTAAAGGCTGAGACTGATCCACAGAGCCACGTTTCTTTAGTGGTCGTGGGATTTCCTCCCGGATGCGAAACAGCTCTTCCATGTCAGGAATCACCTGGATCTGGGCCTCGGGGGCCACCATGGGCTGCAGTCTGGTGGGGCTAAGGGGCCGGGGTGCAGGGGCCGTGGGCTGCTCCACGTCTGTTGAGTTGGGATTCTCCTGAATCACAGGAATGTGGTAAATGCAGTCTAGCCTCTCTAGTTCTGCATCTATATCCCCTGGGTTCAGCACTGAAAATACAAAGAGACTAAAATTGTAAGATACACAAGGGTACTGCTACTTCTCAGTATTTGCAGATTTGAAATGGGTGTTTTACCATCACTGTATATGGTTGGCTGTCTCAGCTCTGGTACGTGTTGCTGAGGAGGAAACACAGGCTGAGTATACATTTCTCTGGGGATGTGTCCAGCAGGTTGGTACGATGACATCTCCATTTCTCCTCCCATAAATCTGGGTTGCTTCACGGACATTGCTTTCCAATGGGGGTTTTGAAGGCGCATAATGACAGAAAGAGGGATAGGTTTGCGTTTACGGTTTTCAGAAGAGGCTGGAGGTATGGAAATACGGGAGACGATGGGCTGAGCGTAGTAGGGGGAGTGAGTCGGAGACGTAACATCTGGAGGGACTGATATACGAGTGTTACGTTGGAGGGAACCATGTTGATACTGAAGAGATTGCAAGCGAGGATCCTAGAGGAGAAAGATGAACATGTGTCACCTCCAATATGATGTCAATGATTTAATTCTTAAAAAAAATCCAAATGCTAATTTTTAGCTAATTGTTCCAGTGCGTATCATCAAGAGGATTATTGGATCTTTCTGCACAGTCCAACAATATATCTTTTTTATTAACACTGCTTTTGTTTTTAGTTTTTCAAATCAGTGTCAGTTGAGTATCAGTATCAACTCTTTCATTCACTGTTATTCAAACTGTAAAGTTCACTTATTCATAAAATCATAATGAGGCTAAACTGACAAATGAACTGAAATGAAGATTATCCTCTGGGATTAAGCTATAATCTCGTGTTTTGTAGGTAAATAACTAGTCCATTCTCTCGGGTATCACCACCCACTTTTTTAGAGCTTGGGGCTGGAGGAGGGCCATCCAGGTTGGATTCTCTCCAGGAGCTGTTTGGCACAGATGGGCGTAGCCACTCAGTCTCTGTAAAGTGTTGAGTTGAAAAACACAGACCACACAGAGTTTAAGAATTTTTTAGACCTAGTGTCCACATTGTTTGTCCATAACTAAAGTCCATGTGACTTGACTCAGATAATAAATGTGTGAAGATTAGAATAGGGAACACAAATGGACCAACTGTCATAGGTGTGGTGAGGTTTCCTCTCGTAAGACTTGTCCAGATCTGTCTCGTTCCACTTGCTGGGGCTCTTTTGGTGTTGCACACCCTCATCTAAAAGAAGGTATTACACAGGGGTGAAATAAAAATTACACTGGCTCAGAGGACACTAGGAGTACTTAAACAACTTATTTGTTGATTGTTGGACAAGGTGAGGGAGCGTTGATAGTTGATCAACTTACCAGGCTGCCTGACAACAAAGCTTCTAGGGAGGGTCGAGGATGCTGGATGATTGAAAGACAAAGGGGAGGGGCCTCTGTCCATCTTTGGTGACCTGTGGCCCATGGTGTTACTGTCGTAAGGGCTCAGACGATTGGGGGAAGAGTGTAGCGAAGCAGACCATGATACTGGGTCAAGGGGAACGGCTGTAGGGCTCGACAAAGGGCTTCTGTCAGGGTAACTGCTGGAGCCTCGTGGGCTCCTGTCGTAGCGACTGGGTGACACTGGGGAACTTTGTCCCGGTGAATGACGTCTCAGTGTGTTAGGTGACTGTCTGGGGCTCTGCTGGCTGTAGGTGAAGCCCTCTGAACCTGTTCTAGGAACAGTAGAGGTCCTGGGGGATGAGAGTGGACTGGTGGTGAAGACGGTGGATATTGGTGTGGTTTTACTGCTGTAGCTGACTGAGTCCACAGGATGGATAGATGATGAAATCTGAGGAGGGCAAGAAGTTGAAGCTTAAATTACGGCCTACATAAAACTCCTCTGACAGTTTTTCTGTGGAAGTACCTTAGGTGAAGATTTTGTCGTGTTATTGTTGGAGGAGGTGGAGGTTGGGGATGAAGAAGAGGCGTCCTTCAGAAGGGAGTTAAACTCTCTGGATAACTCATCTGCTGTAGCCATAGATGCATTCAGGTCATCATTTATGGACTGGACTGAAGGTAAAACAGTGAGAGAGACGCCACAGAAAGTCAGCACCGTTCACACTCTGTTGTGAAAAATCAGTCAGTAAACCAAAAGAGAGAAAACTCACACAGCATCCTGCTGCCAAAGCTCGCTGGAGAACTCATAGCTCCGAGGTAGCAGGGCTCTGCTCCTAAAAAAATAAAAATAAAATCTCAAGAAACATCTTCAAGAAACTAAGACAGTCCAGTTGCCCTCAGTACAAAACTACAAAGTATAACTAACTATGAAGGGTCAAGTTTGGTTGCTCCCGTCCCAGGCTGGGTTCAACAAAATCAAGTGTTAATTTTGTTGAGATTTGTTGAAGCTGATCCTCACAGACACGTCTCTGGTGCTGCAATCTAGAAGAAACATTTTCACCTCAGGCTCTTTGACACAAAACTAAAACTTTTTGCCCATACATCAAATCACCCTTCGTGTCTAAACAAGCCGCTGTTTCCTCATACTTTCAACAGTCATAAGCCAACAGAACCGGCAGCAGTCGTTTGTGTGCTGACTCAACCCTAAAAAACCTGCCTCCAAAACCAGATGGTGCTCACACACATCTAGTTTCAGACACACAGACAAACGACATGTTCTCGAGTGGGTGAACGATCACACACACCCTCCAGACAGAACGTCAGTTGACAGAGTGTTCTAACATGATAATGACAAAAGAGTCAACCTCGACATGAAAATCACTAATGGGAAATACTGTGTGACTTCTGCTCATCCACACACACCTGACAGCAGCCTCGAATAGACTCAATCAAACATCTCACCTAGTGACCACGCTTCTATAAAACACATTAGGAGCTTTTTGTGAAGTAAAATGTATATATACTATATATATATATATATTTTATTTATCATTTTATATCATACATTTTAACATGCAGAGGTCACAGTGGTGTGCTGTGTCACCTTCACTTACCTTTAACTTTAAGAGACTATGGCTACATTTAGTGTTTTGTTTTGGTGACTAAAAGTCCGACCGAAGTTATGTAAGACTTTTTTAATGAATGTCAAAATTAATATTTTGCTGATGCTAACAATTACTGACAACTAGTATTGTAGCACCATAATCAAACAATTAAAGGGAATGCTCTCACTTTTCTTTTATTAAAATAATACCTAAAAAAAATGGGCAATGAGGTGACTGTTTGTCCAACTGTAATTACGCAGATATACAATTGTTATAATCAATGGTTGTTACAAATATAATTGTGAAAATAATTGTTGGATTAAAATTAAATATACTACACATTGTGCCATAAATCTGATGCCATAAAACCTGTTCATGGACCATAAACAGCCCTGGTTTTTTTTTTTTTTTTTTTTTTTTTTTTTTAACCAACGTAGCATTGATTGGTCAAACACCTGCCTGGTTTTCACAATGCTTTCTTTGTTTGACTTAAATTGATCCAAGGAACGTGTGTGGACACACACAAAGTAGAGCCAGTCTGTTGAAAACAGTCTTTCATGAGTCAGCAGTGAGTCCTGCTGTGTGATCACTTCTGTGATGCAGCTATTCTGGGTTACTTCAAAAACAACCAAATGTCATCATACCATTCATCTGGCATGTGTGCTGGGGTGGACAGTCACTCCTGCTGGGATGTCGTGGGCACCTCAGGTTTTACGTGTTATATAAAGTCATTTTTAAGGAACCTTTTTTAAGGAAATTTTCAATCATGTGGACATGATGGCAAAAAAAAGAAAAGGCGTCATTCATCAACTGCTTCACCAAATACAGTATGTCGGTTGTTGCTTTCAAAAATCCGACCAACTTGAATGACCATTCCTCAGAAACATCCTGCTCCTTTACTGGTTTAAACAATGGTTGAACATCAGCCAGGGATGACAGGAAAACCCGCGTTCCGTGTGGTCACCAGTTTGAAGCGACAACGCAGTCCCATCAGATTAATAAATAACTGACACCGGGACTTGTCATGTCTCAGTCACCGCCCGACGAAAGACTCACATTCCACGGCACTCCTCCCAGTGAGGCATTCAACCTTAACATAGTTCGAGACACTTATCTTTGTCAAGGGCTGCTCACACAAAAACACTCTCACTCACTCTTAAAGGTCAGAAGGCTCATGGACGCTCCTCCTTCCACTATAGCATATTTCCAGTCACTCTTCACTGTGCTGAATCTCTGCAGTTTTCGTTTCTCATGAGCACTTTGACTGTGTTGTAAATGTTTTACAATAATAATTTACAAACTGACAAACTGAGGCTGACCCTACGACAGACACAGCAGTAAAGCATGTAGAGGTTCAAGGTTTAAGTCCTTCTTTGCTTTTCCAATCAACTTACTTTACGTCCGTGTCTGAGAATTAGGTTAAGTGTGTTTTGTTAGAGGGCCCCAGTTAATGGTGTTGTAGATATAGATGCATATTTCAATCAGTTAGCTGTGTATATGTTCTTAAGTTTGTTAAATATCCAGTGCAAATGTGTCTTTTTATCACCTCAGGACAATGTCGAATCTCAAACGTATAAAAAAGGAATCTAAAAGTAAAACCCTTCTTTTGTATACAGAAGTGAACACAGAAATCATCATGAAAGTGTAGGGTGAACAGACAGACAGCTTGTGGTCACTGCACGTCTCGACCTGCACTTAGGTTACTTTCTCTAGAAGTTTCCTGGACAATCCCATAATCATTTTGCCTCCAGAACCCCATGCTGAAATGAGTTATCTACTTTGAAAAAATCAAGATGAAAACTCCAGAATTAAAATAATGGCAGAGCATTGAGAATAAACAATAGAATAATATGAAAGACGAGAAGAGTCACATTGTTTTCAACAACTCAAAAAGAGCCAGCTTGTGGCAGACGGGTAGACGTCTGGTGATTTGAGGATCTAAGAAAATAATCATTAGCTCTGCAGAATGCCAGGGTGTGTCTGACCAAGACGACGAGCAGTCCTTCATTTACTCCCATTCGTTTTTCTTCTTTCTTTATAGCCCTACAGTTTCTGAATATGTTTTAACTTCCTCTCCTGTATGTTCTGATGTCTTAATTTGATTCTAAGCATTCATTCATTTCCTCCCCTCCTGTTTCACATTTGTTACTCCCTCTTTCACATCCTTTGTCCACTTCTCTCAACAGAAACTGTATATTGTATGTGTCTGGTTAACTTTTGCTGTTTACTAACCTTGACCCATTATGAGGGTATTTTAATGGCAGAATTCAAAGTCAAAGATAACATTGCATGTAGTATTTACATATGTTTTTCATTATCTTGTGTAATGAAATCACTTATCATGGGCTGTTATGTTCCTGGATACCAGACAGTGAAAGGCCAAAACAAACTAATGGGAGTGATGGTGTGGGTATCTGTTTCCTATCGTGTAAAACACAGGAATGTGTGTCAAACATTTCTGCTGACCAGATCATGTGGAAAAAAAATTGTTTTTCCTCCTCAGTGCCTGTCACCACCAAAGAAGTTACATAATATATATTTTTTCTCTAGAAAATTCTTCCATTAGAAGTAATACTTAACATACTTTGGGTTGAGCACATACCTTATGTAGGAACTGATTACAGTCCACACTTTTGCCAACAGATTCACAGAAGTTTGTGCTGATGCTCATCTTTTGTTAGAAACTGGACAATGATTTGTGCTGCCATGAAATTAACAAGTCAATTTAAATATGAAACAAAGTGCCCTCACAAAACTGAACTGAAAATGAAATATTCAAAACTGAAAGAAAACTAGGAATAGACTTCATAGAAATAGTCCAACAACAACAACCAAGACAGTATGAAATTAGGTTTTTAAACATACAGTCCCTGGACACGAAAAGACTATGAGGACTTTTGGACAACGAAACAACAAACCCTTTGGAGCTAAATGCCAAAGAATACAGCCCCATAATAGCATAATACAGCTCCATTATACTCTAGTAAAAAGAGAGATTTGAAAAGAAAGACTCAAGCAGTTGGAAGCAAAACTGATTTGTGACTATGGATTTTTTGCAGCCGGTGAAGAACTACAAGCAAAATACCGAAATGACTGGGAGGCCGCGAACTTAACATGATGTCAAAAATATGTCACATTTTTATCTCTGGTTCACAAGTTTAATTTGACTCCTGTGTGATGAGTTCCACGCCGAGATATGACCTCCCATAAATAGCTTGTAGAGCGGTCATGTCCTCGACTTCCAGTATTTCATCCAGTGTAAACTTCTGGTACAAAACTCCACCTAGTCCCGCAGCTACTACAGTACTTTGTAGTTACCCTCTCTGAATACATAGAACATTTTATTCAGGGGAACAACAGTGACTGCCAAAGAAAACAGTTTGTCTCCATTGAGGGCACAGCCGGTGCCTGATGACAATAAGAGAGCAGAGTCAGAACATGCCTGAGACGATAACAACCAACTCCTAAACACAATGTAACTCCCGGCCTCATTTCCTCTTTGAGGCCATTATGCTGCAGACTCTAGCAAACCATGGCACAAAAGCCCCAAATACTGACCCCCCCCCCCCCCCCCCCCTGCCTTTCACCATTCACCAGTGCTGTTCTTCACATCATGTGACTCAAGAATCTCTCAGTGATCCACAACATAACAGTCATTTCTGCAGTGGACAAGCCACATACTGCTGTGAGTCATGCCAAGGAACAAAGGGTGGAGAAGACTCAGCTGGTGTCGTCAAATCCTTAACGTGGATGAGCTTACATGTGTGTACCTGCATAGATTTAATTACTAGTAACAAAGTTGAATTACAGGTGGCATTATAAAATCATACTGGTTTCAAACACGTCTCATGCAGTGACAAATGAAACCCTAATCTAAAAATAATGACTTGTTTGTTTCATTTAATCAAAGTCTTCAAAACATGTCTATGCCAGCTGAATAACCAACCCAAAGTACTTCAGTAATCGCAGAAATAGCTCTCACAAGTGGAATGCTGCTCCTCTATTTGCATAGTAAGCTTCTGTTCACATTGTCAAACAGCCTATAGCAGGTTTGGCCCTGCAGGCTCCTGTACATACATAATGGTGCAGCCTCTGTAAAGCAGGTCTCTTCACTAAATTATATACATTACCCCAAAGTAGGAAAACTGCACAGATTTTTAATTGCTCTGGTATCATAACAGCAGTATTCCAAATAAAGTTCAATGAAGGCTTGAAATGAATGCCTTGAATGTATATTTGTCTATATGAGGAGTTGGGGAAGAGTCTAAGCCAGCAAAGGACTGGTGCAGCTGACACACTAAGAGATAACATGGCATGGCAAAATTAAAAAGTTACTAGGTGATTGTAAATCGACAAAAACTAATGTAACTCAGTCATTGGCTAGGCAATGTAAACTTGTGATAATAAAAGTAGTTTGTAGCAGTAGTTATTTTAGTGAATAACAACTAAAAGATAAACTGTCGCTAGCAGTAAAGAAAGGTTGTGTGTAAATGAAAAGTTTCAGCAGAGATAATTATGTTTTAGTGCAGAAATTGCGTAACAATAGCCCTGCAAACAATCACAGATACAAGAAAACAAAACATAAACAAAAACACCAACAGAGCTAAAATACAGCAATGATTATTTCATTTCAACATTTCAGGCATTATAAAGTACATTGACAAATTGACAAAATGCTGCAACAGGATTCAAAACATACCAAACAACAATTGTAACTAACAATGCTGTAAGTACTTATCAGCTAGCAATAAAAAACAAACAAAAAACAAACAAGCGTGATTAATCGGTCAACTTTTCGATTAGTGTGCGTTGTGCAGGCTGCAGTAAGCGGCTGCAGAGAACAGCAGTGACTGGAAACATCTGATTTCCATTAGTTTGAGTGAAAAGCTCCTCCTCTCTCACGATGAACGAAAAACCAGAGGTGAAAACGATCAAACATCTCGGATTTGTGCTGGAGCCACGAACGATCTCATACAGCAACAGTGGGAGTGACGCGACAACTGAGTTTGAGATTTACAAACCATTAAACTAAACGCACTCGTTGTCAAAAATGTACCTTAAGTCCGACAAAGATGGAGTGTACAGGGCGAACTTTCTTACCTTACAATCCTAAGTCCAGAGTCCTCGCTCTGTCTGTCTCCGTGTGTTTATGGAGTGTGAGCCGTGTGGAAATTTGCTTTTCTTCCTGACTTCTCTTCTCTTGACTCAGTGTGTGTCTCTCCTGTGACGGAGCTGCAGACATTTAGTCATAGCTGTGCTCTGACTGTAGTGTCTTTGGCACGGAGTCAAAGTCCAGCCTTCTCCGTCTGTGTAACCGGAGCCAGGTGTGTCCTCCACAGCTGGCACAGGTGGGACTGTGCTGGACTCTCACCCTGCTGCCACCGAAACTTTGCTTTACGGACAAAACATTTTGCTTTTAACGCCAAACCTTATAAAACATCTTAAACATCTTAAATGTTTTTCTCATAAGACCAAGTCTTGCGTTTTATTAGGTGCTCATTTGCGCCCCCTGCAGAGGAGCTTTAATTTGATATTCCACCCCATAAACAAAATAATTTTATCTTTAAATGTTCCAGTGATGTACCCTAGTGGTGGGGAGGGGTAACACAGCCAACAACCAACACAAATCATTTTTTGGCTGGTTTGAATTGCGAATTGGAGTAACACGTCATCATTTTCTCTGTGGTGTCATCAATTAGGTTTTTTTAATAAAGCTCCTGTAAAAAGGAAATATTTTTAAACGGTAAAATGAATATAAAACATGTTCCTAGTGACACAGACATACAGACACACGGCTATACAGACAGACAGTATTACTTCTGACTCATTGTAGGTCAAGAAATTACAGAGCTCTGGTAAAGTTGTTAAAACACAAATAAAGATAACTAAAGGTCATAAAAATATTTGCAATATAGCATAACATTTGAATAAAGATTATAGAGGTCATGAAAAATAGCAAAAATATTTGCAACATAGCATAACATTTGAATAAAGATTATAATAGAAATTATGCATAATCTCCACAAACAGTGACTCCCAGAACAGCACGTACACATCAGACCATGACGCAAGAAAGCTGAAAATCTTACCTCAATTATTAAGAAAAAACCCCAAATTTCATTATTGTTCTGAATCTAATCCTAGTATAAGTTCTTTGTGATGCAAGTTATCTCTCTGAGTTGTCTTCCTTCTTGCTTAACACGCATCATTCTTAGATTTCAACATTAAAGTTGATCTCGACACACCCTGGTACACCTCATATAACATCCCATATTTAATAAGGATATTCACCATGTACGTATATTTTGGATTCACCAAAATCCACTGTTCATATAAAGAAAAATTCTGAATGTAGTCTGCTGCATACAAAATAAGTGTCTGCAGAATAACCAAATTAATGGCTATTAATTAATGTTGTAAATTCCACATCATAAAGACATATATACAGACTAAGTTCACAATAGTTTAGTCGGAAATACTTCTGACCAGGGCCCAGACAAACTGCTGTGGAAAAGAATATGTTTCTAATGCTGATTTTGGCCCCTCTACAAACAGAACCAAGTTAAAAATAGAGCAGTGCACAGCATAATGAAGGCAAGATGTTGGACAAAGAAAATTGTTAGAGTTTTAGTGGCATCTAGTGGTGAGTCAGGTAGGTTGCACGACAAAATCAGTCCTGTACTGTACTTCATTTTTAACCATTGCATTTTCGTTTTCCACTCTAACTAGTAAAAAAAGTAAAGAAAAAAAAATGTATGTACAAACAAAACAGAAAATTACACATCAATTTATGTACAAATAAAACAGAAAATTACACATTGCATAAAATCAATTTATGTACAAACAAAACAGAAAATTACACATTGCATAAAACACATTAATTAATAGACCGCATAAATTCACTGCATTTACTTTCTTCATGTATTACTATACGGGTCCGCTTAGCAGTAGAGCAAAAATAACTCGTTCCGATTTTGAAGGTTGCGGACTCTTGATTAAAAAGCTTACAAAACAATAGTCTGTAAAAGTACGTTGAAAATTATGTTCAAGTCTGATAGTATATATTTTCAGTTAGCGCTTTAAATATTATACAACCCAAAAATGGCCAAAAACCCTCAAAACCTGTATCCCTTTCCTGTTTCTTCATCATCAACAGAGGGCGCCAAACCACATCTAAAATGGAAAAGCCTCTCCGCACGTCCATACGTAGATCAAAACCCATCAGGGTTGTATTTGTACGTTTAACTTTTTTTAAATTATACATTTAAGCATTTGTTGAAGTTTTAAAACGACCAGACCTTCTGCTCAGTTTTACTGTGCCAGCAGTTACCATTAAACTGCAGATTTTCAGCAGAAGAGGCTGCAGCTATTAAATTGCAAAAGTGCAAATCATCCCATAATCAATCACAGGTTTTCTTTTTTCCACTATGTTTAATGATTCTCACCACTGCCAGTTTTCTGTGTCGAACCAAACAGTTAGTCTTCTGTGGATCTACACAAATACAAACCCGAATGTCAACACAATTCTATTGGTCCTTGGGGTTTTTCTTCCAATTCAGCACGACATGAACTACTAAAATTTTATCTGCAAATTAGCCATGCACAAAGTGTTGTGTAATTAGTTATTTAAATAAATCCAAGACACACAAGGCCCTGGATACATTTAGCTAATCTTGTGCATTTTAAATTGTTTAACAATTTTTTCCCCCCACATTTTTTTATAAAAAAACCCTGTGCTCTTAAACATAGATTTTATAATAAATATAAAAAAGTTAGGGCTTTATAGGCGCAATTAATTCATTAGTGAATCCATTCATTTACTGCATCTATTCATTAATTTATTATCTGTCTGGATAAACTGTGATGGTAAACCCTGCACAGTTTATCCAGTTCCACCCACAGAGATAAACAACAAGGTCAGTTTAGGCAAATAAAGTAAATAAAACACTGCATGGTTTCAGAAAAGACTGCAGAAATTTGGACAAAACTTCTGCACACAGTCCCTGAGGAAATCTCCTACTGGTAATTAGGGTTGTCCCAATACTGCAGTTACAAACCAACAATGTAGTAGTTTTTTTTCATTTGTGCACCTGCCAAACCTCAGTATTGTTACTCATACTTCTTGATATTATATTAATATAACAATATTTATGTAAAAGGTGGTTGTATCGTAACAGAACAATTCTTAAATAATGTCTTGCTCCTGTCCTTGTCCCTGAACAACTTGAATAAACCACAGATAAATGTAAGACAGTGAACGCAAGAAGGACAACTTTCAAAAATGTGCAGGTATTTGTGTTGAGAAGCCGAATAATCGGACAAAATAGTTTAGAGTTAGCTTAAACTTTGTCCAAAAACTGCCAAAATTAAGCAATAGTAGTTATAACTGACAGTTTGCCATGTTGGCAGTATTGTAGTATTGAATACAACAACAACAACAGCTACAACAAAAACAACATAAAAGCATTATTAAACATGTTGGTTAATGCCTGAGCATAAACAAGGAGAGCTTTTTTCTTAGTGTAGAACTTCATTTTCATGTGAGTCAACAAAAGGTAGTGTAGTTTGGTTGGAGAAATCTCTGCAACAGAAAACATTTAAAATAATGTTTTAGTACTGCAAATGCACTGCATGGAGAAAAACTGAAGACTTTGTGATGACACTTTTGCATTTTTCATTTGGTTCTGTATTTCTTTCAGTTGCCACATGCAAAGATGGGGTATTAAAATTTAATGTGGCCTTAAACTGTCTGTTTACTTTCTCGTTACAGAGCGAGTATAAAGAAATCACTGTGATAAATGAGCACCAGTAAACCAGCCAACGAGGAAAGGATGTGCATGTGTGAAGTACAAAATATTATTCTTCTGGCACTAATTAAGTTAGATAAATGAACAAAAGCTTTCTTTGGTTTTGTTCCTCTCCGTGGACCTCTTTTATTAGCAGCACTAGTAATGTTCTCTTTTAAGCCAAAAATTGAGAACTACTTCAAGGTTTTTCGACAGACTTTTCCCTTTGATTTTATGATGAATGGTAGTCTAGGCGTGTTAGAACTAAAGAAAAAAAAATGTTTCTGACTAGACTAGACTAGACAACAGTGTCAGTATGAAGCATTCTCCTTTCAATAATTGACCAGGGTCAAACGGCCAGAACACGGTAAAACTCAGGAGCTCAGCTCAGCTTCTGCAGCTTGTTTGAACAAACAAAAGTTTTTCCTAAAATTGACTCAGGTGCTCGAGTTAGACATCAGTAATGTGGGAAAACAGAATATTTTAGAGAAACACAAATGCATAAACAAACCTGAAAAAGAACCAATTATTATTATTATTATTATTATTATTATTATTATTATTATTATTATTATTATTATTATTATTATTATTAAATAATTATTATTAAAAAACCCTCACAATATATTAAGCAAATTAAGCAGCTGTAGTAGTAGAAAAAGAGAAAACTCATGGATAATGGAAGTCCACACTCCCTTTCAGATATAAGATTCTTCTGGTAACTTAACTTAACTTAATTCTTCTGGTGACCTAATTACCAAACAGTACCCATGACATGTGATATTTATTATTCACTCAAATCAATGGTTCTGTATCTAAATTAGGAAGAACCAAGTGAGGCTGTCAGCAAATACTAACATTCTATCAACAGTTCAATAAAATACACAAAATGAATCACTAATTGGACTTCCCGTTTTTGTGTTAAACAGATGGCAAATAAACGGAGCCAGTTGGACAGGACACAACCAGGACAAAGGGGAAAAAGCAGAGAACACCTGATTCTAGTCATCTGATGTCACAACTCATGTTGTTGTTCATTTCCTGCTGTAAAAAAAAAGAAAAGAAAAACAGAACCCTGCAGCTGTGTCCAATGTCTCACATTTTGTTATTTTTCAGACACAGTTGTGTCTCTCAAACACTACAGATTGTTTTTATAACTCAACATCGAAGCTCCACAAATCTCTGTAACTAGATGCAAATGATGTCTTCAGACAGCAAAATATCTGCCTTGCATTTACCACCACTGTCCAAATTCATCATGCAAATGTCGGTTGCCCATTTGTTGTTTAAAGAAATAACCACGGCAGGATACAATTATGACGGTCAAAAGAAAGAAAGGAATTCTCTGTGTTGTTAAAAACACACTGAGCTCTTTGGGGCTCAGCCTGCTGTTGCCTCAGGTAAACATCTTTCTCAGTTCTACAAAGGGACAATGAGAAAAACTAAAGACAGCTCATTTATCACAAACACATAATGAAAAAATACCAACAGTCTTTTGAAGTTGAAATGATGTTCACTGCTCTACTGCCCAGGCTTTTCTTTCTGCGGATCCTGACATTCTTTACAGCATTAAGACTTAGCACCTTTTATTTTTTTTAAGTATTTTTTAAGGAATCATAACCACTTTTTAGCCTCCTCCCACCCTAATGGACGACTGCAGTAAGACCAGCACACCCTTCTAATAGAAGGTGGTTGAAAAAAAGGTCAAAATAATAAAAAATCAAAAGTTGATTTAAGGTTAATGAATGTCCAAATGTGCCTGCTAGA